CAAATACCTTCAGTATTTGTATAAGTGAAAGATCCGGATGAATGTATTTTTTGATACTGAGAACATTTTGTACCTAACAAAGTTGTTATTATATGGGGTATGTTAGATGACATCGCGTAGAATTACTTACAATCACTTCAATGTAATAATATCATCTGTATTCACAAATATAGTATAAATTTATAGTTGTTTATTTCACGTTAATTAATATTTAGTAGAAAAATATCGTCTGTTTTAATTGTACAAGTCAAATGGATTAAATTTTTAATTAAAGTCACTATGGAATATTACAAAAGTACAGAACAAAAAAATGATTAATTGATCTAAATTATGTTGCTTTTACAAAATCTTTTTGATTAACATGTGATCTATTGAGGTAATTTATTAGTGAAAATCATTATTCTTCTTTTAAATATTTGTAAAACATTATTGTATTTTGTTATTTTGTCATTTGATTTTATAAGAAAATAATGTAGCATTCTATTCAGTCATAATAATTAGTACTGCTTAGTCATATTTTACTCATATTGTGGTGTGTGTGCCACTTATATCGACATAAGTAGTATATGACATTAGTCGTAAACAGAATGTCTGGCAGCAAAGAGATAACAGGATCGAACAGTAAAGAATGGAAACAGAATGCAATTTGTATGAAAATGCAAGAACAATAAAATCTGAGTCATTTTGAGACAATTGATGGACATTTCGCAAATATGATTGTAAGATTTTATTATTAAGTCCTGTAATTTTGTGTCAAATACATTCGATTGTCCCCACCTGTGTTCTTATTCACTACAATATCACAATATTAACTTTTTTAGACAACTAGTGAAAAGCAAGAAACACTGAAAAATTGTTTAGTTTTAATATGGGACTCTTGTTCTATGGTTATACAGCTGTCAAATACTTCCTAGCTTTAATTGATTTTTAACTATAGTCACTTCATGTTGTCAACAAACGATAATCATTTTCACCAAGTCATTATACTGTTACATATATTTATTGATTGTTATTTTTTACGTAATTACATTTCTTTAAATTTATAGCAATCTATAGGTTCAACATACATACATGGAGATTGTAAATTCTTCGGTTTGTTATGTATGATCACCGATAGGTGAAAATGTCAGAACATGTATTGAAGACATTTTATATTTTTAAAAATTTATAACCAGTAAATTTCACGTTTTGGATAGTCTTGAGTGCTAGTAACAAAAATTTACAAAACTTATCTTTTAACGTAACTTATTTAATGAGTAGAAGAAATGATTGATAAAATATTACTGTTAATATTCGTTTCCGAAGGACCGCATAACTTAATTAAAAGGGTCAAACATTGAAAATGTTTCTCAGCTGAAATTTTTTCTCACTTTTAATAAAGCCGAAGAAGGCGAAAGACAGACTGTTTAGACAGTTTCCTTGTTGAAAATCATTTAAATATTGTATATATTTAGAGTCCTGTGTGTACAGGTTCATAAAGAATGCTATTATTGATAGACGATCACATTTGAATAGCCATACGACCGTGTATTGTCTTGTTTGATCTTCTGGACATATCAACCAACAGAAGTTGAAACAAGCTGCAAAAGTTGTGCCGTATGGATTGAAAACGAATATATCATTCCCGGCACGGATAACTCGACTGGTGACAGCTTCTCATTAGAACTCCGGGAATTTTCCCTTGAAGTTGTGCACTAGTGGGCACATGTTAATTGTAAGTGTACAGTTTTGGAGATTGTTGAATCTCATTGAAATCCTGAACCCTATGTTAACACTTATCACGTACTCACTAATGACTAGCTACAACAGGAAATTCCCGGAGTTCCAGTTAGCAGTCGTGACCAATGAAGTTTAACTGTGCAGAGTGTGACGCAGTTACCCATCGAAGAAATATGTCATTTTAAAAATCGTATAGCTGATTTTACAGATATATCCATTAATATCTCTAATTCTCATAATAGTTTTAATACCCGATAAATGTTGACAGAAGGATATTAAAATTTTTTCATTTTCTTATCTCCTGGTTTTAAAACAAAGATCATATACTTAAAGCATCATCTTTATATATCAAACTAAATTTAAGAGCATCCTGTAATTAAGAAAATAAATTTTGTATATGATATCATAGTAATCAGTTACAGACTCATTCAAATTTATTTTTGACTTGAGTATAGCATTTGGTATGTTTATTACATTATAACATCGTTCCAAATTTATCATACAGTTAATAGTTCATTTCAGTTGTCTGATAATACTAATTTGCTCATTATGAAATCATGAATTGTCAGTTTTGATTGTAATCATTAATTAATTCATATCCTTTGAATAGTTTAATCTCATTTTATAATCATAATAATTAATCACAAATAATCGACAGAATTCAATAATCAAATGAGAAAATTATATTCAATCATCTAAGGAACTGTTATAGTATAGAAACAAATTTGCTTAAAGCTATACTACAATTTGAAAATTGTTAATATACTTTCATAGTAGAACATATTTCATAAAGAACTTCATTTAAATACATGTTTAGGTACTCTTTAAATATACAAGGATATACAAAAATTTTTAGGATTGTTTCATATAATTCTATCTGTTATAGATATTTCAGTCAAGTTTATAATGTAATTTGAAAAAATGTACAAGAAAATTTGATTTTGCTATGTGAGTAAATTAAAAAAAACCCACTCATACTTAATGGAGAAACTCTAGAAAAGGTAAAAAGTTTCACGTGAAGGATCTGATGCAGACCTAAAAACGAGGATTAGCAAAACAAGGACAACATTCCTATACTTGAAGAACATATGGAATTCAAAACAATTGTCAATCAACATCAAATGCAGAATCATTATCACAAACATTAAGACAGTTCTACTATACGGATCTGAAACTTGGAGAACTGATACAACTATAATGAAAAATGTACAAGCATTTATAAACAGTTGTCTACGCAAGATACTCAGTGTTCGTTGACCGGAAAACGTCATCAACAAGCTACTGTGGGTTGATAGAACATACATTTCGGAAATCATCAAACTGCATTACGAGGTAAGCATTAACTTGGAATCATTAAAAGAAACTGAAAACAGGAAGGTCAATGAACACACTGCGCCGAAAATTGGAAACATATATGAAAATAATGAATAATAACTGGAAAGAACTGGAAAGGATTGCACAGGACAGAGTAGGATAGAGAATGTTGGTGGTCGGCCTTTTCTCCTCCACAAGGAGTAACAGGCGTAAGTACGTAAGTAATTTAAAATAATGAACTCATGTAAGTAAGAGCCAAAAATAGTAGTGTAAATGCTTCAGAATAACAAAATGAAATTAGTAAACAGTAGAGGATCTTTGCTATTTATAAATATTAAACTTCTTGCATATTTATTATTTGCCAGCGAAATTTATTTACCATTTATTAAGAACTGATGCTTTACTTAAGTCCTAAATCTGGTTCATTATAACGTGTCATAAAATGTTTTGACCAACTCATTTATAACACTTTTTTCTAAGTACCTGCCTTTATGTTGTATCTTTTCATTTCTGCATCAATTCGGATGAATTTCCCAGTTTCCCACATTGTACGAGCATTCCATGTACCTAAATTAATAGTTGCCTTGGATAACAAAAAGGGCATCAGCTTCGTGACTTCCGAAGGAACTCGGCTTTCACCATGAGGTGTCATAACTCTTCTAAATGAAGAGCTTCTAACTCCTATGATAGAATTTAAATGGTTTGAATTATTTCTTCTGGTTAGCATTTTTTTAGAGAGTTAGTGTTCTACGGGATAGGGTACTAACTCCATGCCCAACACTCCTTCATTATCCAGGCTTGGGACCGACAGTAGCCTCAGAGTGGCTCGTCAAAATTGAATGAACGTTGATGATTCGCTCTACTGCTAAAGACAGTATTTTAATTCTTTATAAAAATCTTTTCACCATATCTCCGTCTGAATATCAGTCAACTATCTTAGTTAATAACTACCTGATTATTTTAGTTCATTCTGTGAACCAATAACTGATTGTTTAAATAACTGTGACCGAACACATTAATTGTTACACATTTGACTACGATCCTGAATCGAATGTTTTCAAAATTTTGAAGATCTCTTTGTGATGATTATTTAGTATAATATAATGAACTTTAATTGTTAGCATACATAATATTTATTATTACATATTAAATAAAAAGCATTTGCAGATACTTAAACATCTTTACACATTTATCCTGAATTCGCTAAATATTTCTATGTAATAATGCAGCTACATACATCTGTTTGTACGACATATATATTAAATATATGTTTCACTGAGTAGTAGTTATCTGTCAGTAATAAATTACAGTAATTTATTAAAAATAATATTAAACTGGAAATAATTTTCAGCTAAGCAATTAATTAGTTTCAATAGTTGAAATCATGAGTCAATTGAAGCTAGACCACCATGGAAAATCTGAAAGCACTGGACGGCCGTTTCGTCCCAGTATGGGACTCCTCAGTAGTGTGCACCAGCCGTACACGATTGTCTTCAGTGATTTGATATCTCACAACAGACCTGGTTGAACTCCACTGGCAACGGCTTATCACTAGAACTCCAGGAAATGCCTCTTGAAGTCAGTGTACAGTGGCGCAACTTCGTGGATTGCCTGAAGTGAGACATTAACACCGTTGGATGCTGACTCAGTGGTTTAATGTTAAAGCGCTCGCGCTCAAGACTGAAGAGTCCTGAGTTCGAATCTTGCGGAGGGCGGAATTGTCGATGCTGACTGCTGAGGAGTCTCATACTAGAAAGAAACGGCCATCCAGTGCTTCCAGGTTTTCTATAGTGGTGTAGCTTCAATTGACTCATGATTTCAACTATTGAAATTACTAAAATCTCCATAAAACCCATTCTGATAATTAATCAGTTTTTAAAATCAATTCGAAAAAAACAACCGTTTCATTACCAATGAATATTTAAATAAATAATTATAAATTTTTTAATAAATAATTAAAGACTTACGCAATTTCCCAACACTCTTTACATAGAATATTCGAATTCGACGATGATATTTTGTATGCACAATTTTGACAAACATTACGAATACACTTAATACATCGATACGTTTCTGTTAATGAATTATATTGATGTAAACATATTGGACATAACTTTGAGAATTGGGATGTAAATCTACGTATCTGTAATGTTGCATATGATCTGCGTTTGTGAACATAATCTAAATGTGACATGTAATCCTCATCTTCAACTGGATTTATATCATTAGATTTAATTATTGTGGTATAAGTTGAAACAAAGCCACTACCAGGAACTGCTGGAATTTTATTGCGCAATTGGTTCATATTACTGAGTAGAATTTCAGGTTGTAGTTTAGAGGGAAATGATCCAACTAAGTCACTGAAAATCGCGAAAAAATTCTTTGTGATACTTTTTAAGTAAAAATATACTTATTAATCTTGTTGAGGCGATTAATTTTGTAAACATTTAGAAAGTTAATTTTGTCCGTTGTCTATATTAAATAATACCTAACTTCTCGTTAAATTTAGCCAAAATATGAACTGGAAACTGATTAGGGATGAATTTTACGCTAACTGATCAGTGAATAGAAACCAATGCTGTCTTTTCCTAATTCTTAGTGCACACACACATGTTTACGTCACTGAACATTTTATGCACAATGTTTATATATTGATACTTCCTGTCTGTCCTGTCCAACTATAAAGCAGTTGTGAAAATCACTGAATTTTTTCACGTTATTCCAAAAATAAGCTTCTTAGGCTATGTCTACATCAGTTAATATTATTATTTAGATATGTATTATACTTACGGGAAGATGTGTACAAATTTTATGGATTATAGTTGTTACATAAATATGATAATGTGTTTAGTTCTAAATTGATTCGGTTAACATACGTGCTTCCTCTAGTCAACTGCGATATGGATTAAGTTTTATCAAAACTAAACAGAACGAAATCAGAATTTTTCATCAACAATACTACCAAGTTTTATCAGACAATACAAGTAGAGTATTTGGTAAAATGATAAATCCTAAAGAACTTCTATAAACTGAGACTTTTGCTATGAAAAAAGATGGAAGAAAATAAACGAAAAGAATGGTGATTTTTCAAGAGAAAACCAAGCAATACTATTACCAAATGCTTCAAAACATTGTTCTTGAATGTCAGCAGGTGGATGAACAAAATATTAGTAACTGGAAAAATAGTATTTTTAATTTTGAGTGTGGCTCCTCTACCGGGTAAAAACTGGATGAGAGAAATATATTAAAACAGTAGGATCGGGAAACCCTACAGGTGTTCGTTTGTTCATCTTAATTTACCTTAGTTTGTTAAATCAAAAATGGTTGGCTTTCAAGGAAGAAGGTGCATTTTCACTTGATACTTGTTAGGTTCTTTCAAAATCGTGTTATATGGTGGGCCATAATTTTACCATCGATTTTGTTAACTGATATGTTAGAGGGTAATGAATCACACGCCGAGGAGTGAGTCGGCTTTTGTTCTTAAACTTTTTAATTTATAGACCTCGTGGTATTCGGTGTTTGTTCTCCATCGATTGTACAATTAATTGTCATTGCACCCAGGTATGTTTTGGTTGTCCTAATAATACAATTTATTGTGATCACATGTGTTATTCCTTGCAACCAGTCTTAAGAAGATTAGGAGACCTTAGTATTCCTAAAGACATCAATATTTTAGCTGAACTATTGCACCGAACGAAGTTTGCTTGATATTTGAATTATTATGATACTTTTACGATACAATGAATTACCAAGGTTTGATGTTTATCAAAGTATGTGACGGAAAGTAATAATATCATTTCTGGGAATCTTTGGTTTCGCTGAAATTCATCTGATCTTGGTTGTAGACAGTTACAAATCCACTCGTTGTTGAATGCAAAATATATAGTGTTTTGCTTTTCTTATTGGTAATGTGCAAGAATTCCTATAATTTTGAGATGTGATTACTTAACTGTGAGCCTTGCATTTTAGGATTCTGAATTCCTAGTTTTAAAGATCTTTTCACCCTTGTAATTTCATTTTATTCAATGTATGAAAGCCGTACATATTTTTGATATGCGAGTAATTATATACCAGTACTCCTAAGAAAATAAGCACAGCGGGTAAACCATTGTTGTTTTGCAAAGTGCGAATACGTTGGGAGTAACCCTCACAGAGTCGATTTGCGCCATGGGGAAGAATCCTACGATGTTTGTTTTTATTTTTGACTATAACCGTTTTTTTCTTCTTATGTATCGTCTCTTTTGTCGTTCCCTGTATATACGTATATTTCACATTTCTTTTGGCTTACTTGCAATCATCATCGCCGTACTGTTTATAACCACTGAAACGTGGTCAACTCTTAGACGCTATGGAGGTATAAACCACAGTTTCACTCATGTTTTACCCAACATTTTAAATTCCGGTTACTGTCATGTTAAACGTTTGTGTTTCTGATAGATTATGTTTGATTTAACTGATTAAGTCTATTGCTGGAGAGAGGGGTGTTTGGCTTCCTATTTGTTGCTAAGGTTTAATGTTTTGAACAGTTAATAGCTCAGTTTCAAGCTATTTAATTTGTGATATTTAGGCGTTTCTGGAATTGGTCAATATTCTCGCGTTCAAATGGTTCAAATGATTGTGGACGGAATAGAAGAAGCTTTCGCTAAACAGGCTTCCGTGTCTAGTAGTAGGGGATCACCAATACCTACAGGCAAGAACCTAGGTATGCTAACGATAAAAGAGAAACCTCCTTGTTAAGTAATTATTGCACATTCTTTATGTTCAATAGCTGAACGTACCTAACAGACCTTACGTGATTGTTCTTGTAACAATAAATTTACCTAACAGAAAAGGCATTGTCCAAGTATATTATAAATCATTTGTAATTCGATTTGTTTATTCAGCAGTGCACATCTATATTGACCTGTACAGTTTTGCCCGTTATTTTACAGAAAATATCGTATGTTATCGACTCAACAGGGAAGCATCACTGAAATTAGTCCCGTTTGAGCCCTTTTTAAATTGCCGACAGTTTCACATTATATAATGGCCTACTTAGACAAATCTTATTGCCTAAACTCAACAGGTGCAAGCATTGCGTGTCTCATTGCAAAAAACGCCGTGGACGATCTGGCTGCATCTGCCAATCGTATTTTAGAGATCACTCAATCTTCTAACGCCGAAGATTTTTCAATCAAAGAAAAGGCTCAGATGACGCGGTATGACGTTTCAGGACTCTGTGATACGCTGACACGTAACCCACGGATTCGTAATGACCATAAACGAACACAAATCCTTCAAAGGAGTTTTTCATGAAAGCGATCTGTCTCTAGATTACGAGAGACAGATAACCTTGACTGGTGCTGGTGTCATAATCAGTACTGAAAACCTTCTCGAAATTGCAGAAAATCCTGCAATGCTCCGGACTCCAAATCAACAGATATGAAGAACGTTTCGGTAATCTTCCCAGCTGACACGCGTTAACGGCAACCATAGATGGCGAACACAGCTGTCTGTTATACGTCACTGATGTGATTACGAAAGTGCGTTGCCTCATCGATACTGGCGCAGAAGTCATAGTTCTTCCAGAGAATCCCAGAGACCGATTGTACAAACCAGTTTTAGACCTACAGTCGGAAAACGGAAAACCGTACAATACAAAGGACGTTATTGAGGAAGTACATTAGTAAGAATGAGTACAGTGAAGGTAGTGAGATCATGACCGAAAAACGAATTCTGTGTACTCGGTCATGCAAAGGATTGACAGAAATGTCACCACGTTACCGCTCCGACCTCATTACTCGTAACCTTATATATCTCCATCCTTTGACAATAATAACAGTCTTTACACTACAGGATCAGCAAATACCAACACAATATGGATGGTTAAAAGGGCAACCTGGAGAAAATAATTACATCAAAACATTTGACAACGGCAATTGAGATATCAAGCAGATGATACAAGGCACAGTGATGAAACATTATCTAAGCAAAACCAATAAAGATTTAAGAAAAATTCATAGAAGAAAACACAAGCAGTTGTATTATCAATCTGTCAAATCAACGGTCGAAAAAGAGAACCAGTGGGACAATCAATATTAGGGCTGATTTAAGAAGCGGTGACGTACAAACTGGAAGCCTTTATTTTTCCAGAGACCAAAACAAAATTGTGGATTTGTTATGAACACGGCACATTTCTTGTCAAAGATGATGAGCTAGAAAACAACCACAATGTGGTTAGCAACGTCTTCAGTGACAAGAATTTTCGAATGAAACAGGGCACGAACAACAAAAAATCATTCTTGAATGTCTTGATCACTAAAACTGACTCAAGAGAATTACTGGACAATATGTTAGTCGTATGTGGAGAATGTTGAATTATCTACTTCCAATTTAAGTTTGAACTTATGCTGTTCAGAAGAGCAATGAAAGTTACATGATCAAATTTTCTTGTTCAGAAGACGAAATTGAACGGTAATAAACCCGCTGAGCTATAAATCTTTTCACAACCATACGACCTAAGAATTATGATTACAGAACCTCTTAAATCAAAGAGATATTGAAACATTGAGGTTCATGTGCATTTGCTTATTCAAGTGGAATCAGACCTACATTCCTGATAAGATAGGTGACATGTGACTTTCTTATAGTATTATTTAGAAATGTCTTTTTTTCAAGAGTGAGCTACTTTTAGATTAAGAAAACAGCATGGTTGTAGATTTCTGTATCAGACTTTTCATAGTACGGTATGATCTACGTATCACTCTGCTCTTTGCAACTATCCTTATCGACATTATGAGGTTGAATGAGTTACCGTGGTTGATCTCGATAGAAGTTCAGATAAACATACTTTTAACTAATTTGAATCAGCTTTTCAATATGTTCTTGAATTACATTTTATATCAACGTGTTTATCATGTTCCACTATCCTAAAACATAAATTGTTCTAGAAGATCATAATTATCGAAGAATACTCCGAGTAAAAGAGACTATAATGCCTGTTTGAAGTTAGTAAGCTTTGGTCTTGCTTGGTAGAGATGCATAAGGACAGGCACTTTGACAAGATCTGAAATCGCTAATATTCCTTCATATTCACAATTAATTAGTGCGTTTTAGTGGATAACTAGATCTCAAGTCAAGGTATATATAATCACGTCATTTCATCAGTAATTCAGTAGTAGTTCTTAACAAAATGAGTGAGCCTCATATCATCTCAGGCTATTTTGCTATTAGTTAGTACCTCAAAATTCCAGTCGCTGTAATAGTTGATTATCGGTAGACAGAATAAAAAAGAATTATCGTAAAAAGTGAAAATCAAGCTATAAGTTAAATTGACAGACCGCATAGTATGATGAATGGATGTTAAAATTATCATAATACATTATGGCATCCAATAATATAACTCATGTTAAGGGAAACTACTTCAGACCATTTCTTACATACAACAACATTTTCATTATCAAACGACCATACAAATGTTGCTCGAAACTCACTAGATTCTCTCGCTATCTGCCTTCTTGAGTGCTTGATCCCTTTGCATAACAGATCTCAGGTGATTAACTTCCGTTTCAGAAACTGATGGGTTTGCTAGGTAGTTGTCTATCCATAGATGTGGGTCTTCATACTTTGAAGTCATTTGAAGCAGCAAAACATCTTTCATTTTATTGGATTCTATCGTCATATTTTGCTATGATTCCGTACACTTTCGAATGAAGCGCAAAATTGACGTTTTTGTGGACTGAATAGTTTTGAGGTTATCATAGTTGTGCTGGTATTTTTGAAAACAGAGAACAAAATACTATTTATCGATTAATACTTACATCAATCATGTTTTAAGCGACATTAGAGAAAAATTGTTTCTCTACACTAGTATAAGTCTGATATACAAATCCTTACTAGCGGGCACTTGGGATGCTTTGTAAGTTCGGTTAGTTTGCTGTAGCGTTTTGGATAAAATGTGTAAGGTCAGATATTTTTACGATGACAATATATTTGTCTGTAAGTGAATTTATCACGTACTAAGCATTCATAAAGACACTAAACGTACTATGTGTCTAGTTACTGTGTTTATTAAGATAAATCAAAACATTGTTTTTCAGCAAATCACCCTATTGAATTACAGTTGGCTTAGTCTTTGGCTTTGACCAAAGCTTGTATATGTAGCTCGTACGTGGCAGAAGCTTATGTTCGTGTTCTTAAATAGTTTCTGTTTTATTTGCGAGATTTTTTTCGCAAGTATTGTTAACAGTACTTTGTCCGAGTAAATCTGTAACAGGCTATTATGACTTTGATTTTCGGTGATTTTCATGTATGTTCTAGGTTAATTCTGATTCTACTAAGGAATATGACGGCATTTACCAATTTAAATATTTATAGGTTTTTCTCAGTCAGAATTGTGGTAATTTTCATAATCACTTATCAACCTCCTGTCATTTTGTCGTGCGGGTATTTCGCCATGTTTCACGAAAAAGGTTTTTATCTCAAAGATGTGGTTAAGATTTTCAGACAGTTCATAAAAATGCAATCGTCTTGTTTAAGATGATTCGTAAATATCAGAAGTTTGTAGAATTTATGACTTTGAACTGCCTGATTTTAATCCAAATTTCGGTCCAGAAGTATTCGTCTTCTTAGTATTAATCTTAGTATTAGGCTCTGGAGTTTATTCTAAATGCTTATTTGACTGACTACCACGTGTTATTTTTGTTATACCAGTGCAGTGCGATATCTTATTGAGGCAACTTAATTATTTTTACTATGCTCAATGTCTTTTTATGCGGATAGTGTGACAACCCAACTCATAAACCTGAATGACTATAGTATTAACGACTATGATAAGTGTAGTGAAAATTTTGAATGCGGTTCATATAATCGTTTGATTCAATTGGAATAGAGTTAATATAACGTATGTGTAAATTAGGTTGCGTGTAAGTTGATATGGAATATAAAAATTGGAAAACTTGACTGTAGAATTTAAAATTTTAAACATGATTTATGGCACTACAGTTAGGAACATGATGGTGAAGTTATTGTAGTTAGCTTAGTGACATTATAAATATGTGGCAATGGTAATTAAAACTAAGATATGTCAGATTAATGCTTTATCTGAAAACAGCACACTTTCATAGTAGTATGTTGTCCTATAAAGCTATTAAATGCATCTATGTAACGAACGGTTTTGGAAGTGGTTTATATAAAATAGATATGTTTTGTCTAAGCATTGTAAACATAGTAAATCACCCAGCAAAATACAGGAAACCTGTAATTTATGGACGACCTTCGAACGACGCTGAACTGATTTTAAAAACACCTACTTATTCGGGTCAAAAGGGGTTAATGAGTTAGTATGAAGGATCAGGATTAGGATTAAAAGTTAGAATTCAGGATTAGGAATTGAAGTATGGGTTTTCATCACAAGTCCACACATTCTGTAGTGCCAAAATGCTGTTTGACCATTTGGACAAGTGAGTCCAGTTCTAAAATCCAAGATTATCTTAAATATATTTGGCTTGTCCTCAAATTACAGTCTTACTCCACTCACTAGTCATAGTATTTACAACACGTGTTATGCATTGGACTAATTTTCAGCATTATTTACTTTTAATCCCAGTTGTTTTATAACTTTAGTGTGAAACTAAGTAGTGAAAGTTCTCTCAAATGGAAGATCCTGAACGACATTTCGACTGGGATCATGGGTTTCCTGACATTTCTCCTATTTCTAACAACACATCTTATAGCTCATTCAGAGTAAATCAATATGCAGATAAAAACTTAGGCACGTATAGTTTGCCTGAATTTAATAACGAAGATAAGGACGAATTTTTTATTTATGGGACGTGTATATCAGTACGTGGAGAGCAGTCTGAATCTCGACCTGATTATATTGATGAAACGGTAAATGATTCTCCAGTTCTTCCAGAATATACATCAACAAACGTTGAAGAGAGTTATAAGTCAAAGATTAATGAATTACACAAACAAATAAGAAACTTGGAGGAGGAGGCTAGTCAAGTTCCTATTCTGCAGGACAATTTACGTTATTTGTATGAAGAAAACGTACGCCTTCATGAGAAAGATGAAATTAAAGAGTCTCATCGATTTCAAAACGGTGAACACATTGATAGCACTGATGAAGAAGTAGAAGAAATTGAAGAGGAAGTCCGAACATATAAAAAGGCTCCTAAAACTGACTTTGTTGCTAATGACTTTCCTAGTCCAAATCACCTTGGTAACTTGAACAACGGGATCGATAAGAGCCAGTTTCCTTCGGAATATTGGTCTAACCTGGAGTCGTACTTCTACAAACGTTTTTTATCAGAACGACCTATTAGTCATAAAATTGCCATACAGTCATCGGAAGCTAATAAACGCACCACAGCTACTATGGCTTGTCCTATCAAATCGTCCGAATTTAGATGCGTTGGTATCAATGTTTGTCCATCCATTCAGGAAGTTGGAGTTCTCTGTTCACAACCAGAAACACGCGAATTCGGTTGTTTTTTTTATGAAACCGAGTCGATGACTAGAGAATGGTTGAATCGTGTTTTCCCCAAAATGGAAGACGAAAATAAGAAGATTGTACACAAAGTTATACGAAGCTTTTATGAAAGTCGTGAAGACTTTGTTAGTACTTTGTTATCAATTATTAAAAAGTCTGTTTGTCACGTGGGTATTCAATCTCAAATAGTCAGTCAATCTCGTGGTTGTTCACCGATCCTGAAGGAGATAGAAAAAACAGTATCGAACCCGAACTTAATCAGTCAGTTTCCTCAGTCACAGGTCTCTGAGTTTGTCCAGGCCATGCCTGTTTTACACAGTCGGTGTACTATGACAAAACGTCATCTGGGTGTTAATGCTGGATGTCTAACAGAGTCTCCCGTCTTACGTAGTCAAGGTACCTCCCCAAAAAAGGATTTACGAAGTTTTACTACATGTGGTGTACAATACGAAAGCAATGTAGAATTGGTTCATAGGGCTTGTGATCCAATATGCCCTGAACTAAAACGTATCGCATCATCAACACAAACACAACTTGAGTGCAGCAAAATGGTCACTGACGTTCCTTTGCATAAAAAAGATATCGTAGTAAAATCCTACCGATCTACAGAATCCTTTGAGGTTAGTCGCTGTTCCGAGGCTTGCCAAATATATAATTTGTATGCTTCTTGCATTAATTCTAATTGTTGCATTGTGTTGTTTAAGTATTTGTTTACACTCATGTTCATCTATCTAAATTTTAATACAGATGCTGAATCTCTTTTTGAAACCCTCCGAATCGGCCTATTTGTGGCGTTAGCGGAATATCCATGTACATATCGAAAGACACTTATCTTGGTTAGTAGTTTTATTTACCCTACTATGTTGTTCTGAGACTTCTCGTACAGGTAAATAACATGAGATTGTAAACATCCACAAAGACGGAACACTTGATGTGAGGCGTGTATGATACACGCTAATCTGCTTCATACTATGGACATATGAAATTGTTGACTATTGCCACAAGACTTGTAGGTAATTGTAAGCTGCTAGACAATATCGCAGTAGAACAAATGAATCGTCTTTTCTTCTAAATCTTAAAGTCTTTACTATCCTTTAGCATATTGTTTCTGTTCCGTCTACTATTTTTATCTTTTTTTTAGATATATTATGTTACAAAGCGTAGTAACTTAAACCGTTCCACTCTCTTACTGTGTTCTTTATCGTTGCACCTATCTGTTTGAATTCGGATCTTCTTTAGAGCTTATGTTGTTAAATTTAAACTACTTTCATACATGCATTTCCTGCGTCATTAATTATTTTATGAAGAACCGGCACGTACCGTCACACATATATGACACACCGATTTCCAATATTGGGATCTTGTGGCAAAACTGACAGTAACTGAACTTGTGACATGGCTTATAAGTTTATTGTGATGGCTCTTACCCACCCCGACCGTAGCTGCTACCTTGACGTGGTGGTCGGGCTTGCCTATCGTGATGAATCAACTGAGCTATACTGGCTGGAACAACCGTTCCTCAAGGTCCTACCATGCCAGACAGGTCAATTGGAGAACGGTAAGACTAAAAGCAGCAACTCAAGGTCTGAGGGCGAAGTCGTACTGCTGACTGTACAGAGGTGTGACAGCAGTAAGGTGTTTCCCTCGGACAACCAGCATCTGCAGCGATGCTGCCTTCTCACAAGGAAGGAAGGGGTTAGAAAAGGTTGACCCTAAAAATGTCACACCTCACCTTACCCCACGGATTTCCGTCTCCGGCGGTAAGGCCCTTTGAAGAACGGAGCTAACACATTAAAAACCCCACACAAAAAGGCCGTGCGCGACCGGCCTCAAGCAGTTGTCCCTTGGGCTCTGTGGTCACGCACTCAGGTCGCTAAGACCAACACTAATCCGATTTCCTTTTCAGGTCCCTCAAGAAATACCCTTCCACGGTGTGGGCAGCCGGGAAGTGATATCAGCCCTCATACCCGTAACAGCACATGAGACCAAGTTGGTCACATTCATATCCTTCCTACATCTCCTAATAACTCTCTTATCTCCACGACTAACCCTTCTCACGTCCCTTTATCACCTCGCCCCGCTAGTGCGAACGATTCGAGTACGCGTAATGTTATTCCTGGTCTCCTGAAACCACGCTCCAAACTACACGTAGGAGCTTTCGACGTCCGAACACTGTGTCAAATAGGACAACAGGCTTCCTTAGCTAAGACTTTAGAATCTCGCTCCATCGATGTGTGCTGCGTCTCCGAAACGCGCACACAGAATCCTAGTAGTGTCATTCATTTGACCGCTCCATGTCAAAGTAACGAACCAACTCGATTTACGCTTCTTGTATCTGGAAGCCCTAATGCTGCTTCCCGTGGCCTCGCTGGCGTAGGTATAGCATTGAGTCATAGGGCAGAACTAGCTCTCTTAGACTGGATGCCAGTAGACAGTCGTTTGTGTGCTGTCCGACTAAACGGAACAGTAAGGACTCGAAAAGATAGGGACTCTCGTCGTTGCCTGTTCGTCGTCTCCGCCTACTCTCCAACTGACTGCAGCTCAGATGATGTAAAAGATGAGTTTTACAGAAAGCTTTCCAACCTTCTCCGAAAAGCTAGGCGTTCAGATGTAGTAATAGTGGCTGGTGACTTTAATGCTCAAGTAGGTAAACTAAGCGAAAGGGAAAGACACCTGGGTGGATCTTATGGTGTCGCGGCCCAAAGAACAGATAACGGCGACCGTCTGTTGCAGCTATGCCCAGATAACCGCCTGTTTCTTGCAAACACTAACTTTAAGCATAAGGAAAAACACCTTTTGACATGGAGACCCCCTAATTCGTCCCAACGCTGGACCCAAATAGATCACATCGCTATCAACCACCGATGGAGGGGCTCGATAAAAGACTGTCGCTCATTCCGGAGCACATGCTTAGACTCAGATCATGCTCTAGTGAGAGCGCGTATTTGTCTACGCCTTACTGGACGTAGGAAAGACGGTGCAAGGAAACCCCTTAGGGTTCTACTTAGTGATAGTCAAGCTAAGAGTATATTTCAGGAACATCTAGAAAAACAGCTAGACAGCCATGTAAGTGACGCCCACCCCGAGGCAGCGTGGAATGACATCCGAAAAGCTGTAGAAACAGCAGTGATGTCTGCAAGTACGGTAAACCATAAGGTTAGGGAGAAACACTGGATCTCAGCAGCATCTACCGCACTGATAGATGCTCGAAAACTTATTCCATCTGGCTCTGAACATAACGAAGAGCGGAGTCAGCTTAAGCGTAAGCTGACTAGAAGCCTACGCAAAGATCGTGAACAGTGGTGGGCAGCGAAAGCAAGAGAGATGGGAAAGGCAGCGGCAATAGGTAACAGCAGGCAACTGTTCAGACTTGTTAAGGAAACCGGTATTAGGAACCCAACTGTTAGCGAAACAATCTCAGAGAAAGATGGTCAGTCAGTCAGCTGCAACGTAGGACCAGGCACGTATATGCATCGGTCCAAGTTGCCATACCGCATTAGCACAACAAGATGAACACCGGATTCATAGAAGTAGTTAATTCAGTGGTGGCAATATATAGAAGAAAGAGTGTGTATAAGGAGATAGTACAGGAAGATAGAATTAGTTCGCAGAAAGAAAGATTTGAAGTGATTTTAATCTCTTAGTTTAAAGGAAGACAGAGAGTGAATACACCGACGCCATTGTGATCGATTCTGAGCCATGTCACCAAGAGTCTCCAACCATTGGTTACGATAGTCACGCGGACCCCAACCAGGCAGTCTGCATCTACCAACATGGCTCAGACCAGAAGTTAGTGACTTCAAGCACTGATGCCACGTTTTGGTTTGGCCGCCCCTAACTTTCTTCCAGTCATCCCTAACACCGGTTACCATTGCGCGTCGCGGTAATCGGTGTTCAGGCATACGCAGCACGTGGCCCAACCATCTCAGTCGATAAAGATTCATAACCTCATCAACTGATTTACCATCATTTCCTAATACCCTGCGTCTAACCTCACTATTACTTACCAGGTGATCCCAGCAGATACCCGCAATATTTCTAAGGCATCTGTGGTCAAATACTAGTAACTTACGAATATCTTCTACTCTTAAAGGCCATGTTTCGCAGCCATATAGTAGAACGGAACGAACTGCCGCGCAGTATACTCGTCCCTTAATTGATAGACGGATATCTCGCCTTTACCGTAAGTGACGTAAGTTGGCAAAGGCCAAGCGAGCTTTTCTAATCCGTGCTGAGATTTAGTCACACACCAACCCATTAGGGCTGATCAGACTCCCAAGATAAGTGAGGTTGTCGACGCGTTCGACTACTTCACCCCCTATCCTCAGTTCAGGTGTTGACGCAGACCAGTCCTGAAGCAACAACTTGCATTTGGAGGGAGAGAAGCGCATCCCAAACATTCTGGCATTGTTGCTCAGTGCTACCAAAAGACTCTGCATTTCATCAGCGTCTTCACCAAACAGGACTATGTCATCTGCGTATTCTAAGTCAATAAGTGAACCTCCTGGTAGGAGATCAATACCCGAAAATTCAGTCGATGAGAGCGTTATTTCCATCAGTAGATCTATGATGAAGTTGAACAAAAATGGAGAAAGTGGACAGCCTTGGCGGACGCCACTTGAGGTTGCGAAAGCAGATGACAGTTCGCCATAAGCTCTCACTCGACTAGTAGTGTTCGAGTAAAGAGCCTTCACAAGGTTTATGTACTTCTGAGGTACGCCTTTCAATGACAGACACTGCCACAGAACCTCTCGGTCAACAGAGTCAAAAGCTGCTTTTAAATCAAGGAAGACCACTATTGTCGGACGCCGATAAGTATGCCTGTGTTCTAGAACCTGACGAATGGTGAATATGTGGTCGATGTAGCCACGACCAGGTCTGAAGCCAGCCTGATTTTCACGTGTTTGCATTTCACGAGTCTTAGGCGTCCGAAAATTATCGAAGCTAGTATTTTAGATATTATATTAGTTAAACTAATCCTTTGTGGTTGTCACAGGATGATTTTGACCCTTTCTTAAATATTGGGACGATAAGTGATTGGGACCAGTTAGATGGGATAACGTCTAACTCCCAGATTTTAGCTAAAATATTAGTCAACCTAATCGCTAAAACTAGACCACCATCCTTAAAGACCTCTGGGGCCAATCCGTCTGGACCAGCTGCCCTTCCTCGTTTCAGATTAGCTATAGCCTTTTGAACTTCAGCTAGAGTTGGGGGACCTACTTCAATGTTCCATTCACACTGTCTGGGAATAGAGGGTAGTTATAGAGTAGCTGAAGGCCAGCTAAACTGCTCCTTAAAGTGTTCCGCCCATCGTTCTAAGCGTCTGGACTGGGAGCAGATGAGAGTGTCGTCGTTTTCCGAAATGGTCTGACTTACACTTGATTTATTAATTCCAGTTTCTTTTATTAGTCTGTAGAGTTGTCTTGTGTTCCCTATAGCCGCTGCCTTTTCCATCTCTTTTGCTTTCGTTGCCCACCACTGCTCACGATCGTTCCTTAGACTTTTGCTTAACCTAGATCTGATTTGTTTACGCCTTTATCGTGTTCAGAACCTGATGGGATGAGTTTACGAGAATCTATCAGTGCAATAGACCTTAAAGAAATCCATTGGTTCTTTGTAACCCTGTGGTTTAAATCACTAGTAGATGTCACTGCTGTTTCCACAGCTGCTTGTATGTCTTTCCAATCAACATCGGGGTCAGCCTCGTTTTCAGAACTACCTAAGTGTGACCTCAGTTGTTCCTGGAACCTACTTTTGGTTTTCTCATTACTCAATTCGGTTCTAATGAGTCTTTTTTGTGTGGCTTTTTTGCGTCCAGTGAGGCGCAAGCAGATGCGTGCTCGTACTAGGGCATGGTCGGAGTCCAAGCAGGTACTCCAGAATGAGCGACAATCTTCTATCGACCCTCTCCAACGATGACTGATGGCAATATGGTCTATTTGAGTCCATCGTTGTTTTGGTGTAGGGGGTCGCCATGTTAGACGGTGTCTCTCCTTATGCTTAAAATTTGTGTTTGCTAAAAATAAACGATTGTCTGAGCACAGTTGCAGCAGACGATCACCATTATCTGTTCTCTGTGCCGGAATACTAAAATACCGGTCGCGCACGGCCTTTTTGTGGGAGGTTTTTAATGTGTTAGCTCCGTTCTTCAAAGGGCCTTACCGCCGGAGACGGAAATCCGTGGGGTAAGGTGAGGTGTGACATTTTTAGGGTCAACCTTTTCTAACCCCTTCCTTCCTTGTGAGAAGGCAGCATCGCTGCAGATGCTGGTTGTCCGAGGGAAACACCTTACTGCTGTCACACCTCTGTACAGTCAGCAGTACGACTTCGCCCTCAGACCTTGAGTTGCTGCTTTTAGTCTTACCGTTCTCCAATTGACCTGTCTGGCATGGTAGGACCTTGAGGAACGGTTGTTCCAGCCAGTATAGCTCAGTTGATTCATCACGATAGGCAAGCCCGACCACCACGTCAAGGTAGCAACAACGGTCAGGCGGAGAAAGATGGAAATATTATTCATTCTTAATCCAGGAGATTGGACCGATGGGCAGAACACTTTAGGGATCAATTCAACTGGCCTCCAGCCACACTTCGGTTTCCCACGATCTCCAGTCGACCTGAATGGCAAGTCATTGTAAGTCCTCCGACTCTTTACGAAGTTGAAAAAGCTATAGGAAATCTGAAGCGTGGGAGAGCAGCAGGCCCTGACAGGTTTACCCCTGGGATTTTTAAGGATGGCGGTCCAGTATTAGCAGCGAGATTGACTGAGGTCTTAGGTAGAATCTGGGAACTGGATGTAATCCCATCTGACTGGTCTCAATCACTGATTGTTCCAGTCTATAGGAAGGGACAAAAGTCCTCCTGTGACGATCACAGAGGAATTAGTTTGACTAATATAGTGTCTAAAATATTAGCTTCAATAATACTTCGACGTCTAACCAAAGCTCGTGAAGAGCAGACTAGAGAAAACCAGGCTGGTTTTCGACCTGGACGTGGTTGTATTGATCAAATATTCACACTACGTCAGGTCCTAGAACATAGACACACATTCAGACGCCCCACAATCGTAGTATTTCTCGACCTTAAGGCGGCATTTGACTCTGTTGATCGTGAGGTTCTATGGCAGTGTTTGTCACTGAAGGGAGTACCAGAGAAGTACATCAACCTTATAAAGGCTCTCTACTCGAACACAACTGGTCGAGTGAGAGCTTATGGTGAACTGTCATCAGAATTGATTACCTTATGTGGTGTTCGTCAGGGCTGTCCACTCTCTCCATTCTTGTTTAACTTTGTCGTTGACGTCCTTTTAGAGATGACACTTTCCTCATTTGAATTTCCAGGAGTTGAACTTCTACCGGGAGATCCACTTGTTGACTTAGAATATGCCGATGACATAGTTCTATTTAGTGAAGACGCTGACAGAATGCAGTCTACTGACCACTCTAAGAAACAATGCAAGCATGTTCGGAATGCGATTTTCTCCCTCGAAATGCAAAATGTTGCTTCAGGATTGGGTTGCGTCGACACCCGAACTAGTGATAGGGAGTGAAGTAATTGAGCGTGTCGACCGCTTCACATATCTTGAAAGTCTCATCAGCCCTTGTGGTTTGGTGTGTGACGAAATCTCAGTACGGGTACAGAAGGCTCGACTAGCTTTTGCCAACTTGCGTCATTTGTGGCGTAGGCGAGATATCCGTCTATCAACCAAAGAACGTGTTTACTGCGCAGCACTTCGTTCCGTCCTACTTTATGGCAGTGAAACATGGCCTTTAAGAGTAGAGGATATTCGTAAGCTACTAGTATTTGATCATAGATGTCTTCGAAACATTGCTCGTATATCCTGGGACCACCGAGTAAGTAACTCAGTTGTTAACAACCGTGTACTAGGTAAGGATGGCAAATCAATTGATGAAGTAGTGAAACTTCATCAGTTGAGATGGCTGGGACATGTGCTGCGCATGCCCGACCACCGACTGCCCCGACGTGCTATGTTTTATGGTGTAGGAGTAGGTTGGAAGAAAGCTAGGGGCGGCCAGACCAAAATATGGCACAAATCCATGAAGTCACTGACAAGTGGACTGAGCCATGTTGGTAGATGTAGACTACTTGGTTGGGGACCGCGAGACGATAGCAACCGATGGTTAGAGATCTTGAATGACATGGCTGAAAATCGTTTGCAATGGCACAGGTGCATCCACTCTCTGTGTTCTCTCAAAATCTAATCTTCTGTATTCTTCATATCTTTTATTTTCTTTCCAAATCTATTCCACTGGACTATACTCCTTAAATAACATCATCAAACCTTAATGTCCCCTATCTCTTCTTATACTTTCAGTACCTCTACCACTATGGGATTTGAATCGATAACTGCATCTCTGTGCTAATGTGGTATGGCGACTCGAGCTGATGTACGTACGTACGAGGTTCCACGTTGTTACTGACTGACTGATTCCTTAAGTTTCAAGATTGTGTTTTGCTTTTTCCTTATTTAATTCCTTTCCGAACCGTATTTTCTATGTTCAATCTTGTCATCGTTTTTGATACTTTTATTCCGACTTGTACGCCATTCATCTTGTTAATTTTGTCTCTATTGAAATGATTTATTAACTCGGGGAAATGAACATTTGTATCTGGTTGCACATTCATTATGACTGATTAGTAAACACTGTGATATAAATTTTTATATCAATAGAATTTGAGAATAATTTAATCGACATCGTTATTCACTCGAACATCTTAAGAGTATGTGTATTGATTTCGAAGTAAACCATTATTCATTTTAGTTAGAAATAATCCGATCACTAGACGTAAAAAATACGCTCAGTTACGTTTCATAGTGCCTAATATTCAGTTCCTACGAAAAATCCGTCGTCTTTTAACGATATAATTATCTACAGAACTTTTTCGATTTGCTTGTAGAAGACTGAAAAACTTCCAGGTATTCAAGAGACAAATGATTCGAATTCTGTTTGCATTACTAGACCATCGAGATGTGATTCTCCAAGGTTAAGTCAAACAATGATTCCATTATCGAGACTGCCTTCATGTACATCAAGTTATTCTGAGGGTTATACTGTATCTACTGAACGACGTATGGTTGATGAACTTTCACAACGTTATATGCTCTTGGATAAAGTAAATCTAGATGAACTAAGTTCTGGTGGGCAGACTGCATTCCAGGATGTTATGTCAAAAAGTGTTGATTTAGGAAGTACCCATGTTATAAAAGAATTCCAACCAACCGTCGAAGTTTTTCGTCATATCGGTGATGAAACTGAAGAAGTTGATCCTTCTACTTTGCCAGATGAAATGCTATCCCCGTTTCGAGTGAATTCACCTCCTGGGTTTCCTCTCTCCCCTGATTTTATTAATTTGAAATCTGATCCCAGAGTGCGCCATAGTTCCGGTTTATCTAATCCACCGACTTCTGATCCTCCTACTACGCCACCCGTATTAATACCTATTATTCATGGACAAACTGCAAAACTCCCCGAGTCGGCTCCAAAACCATCATATACCAAGTAAGCATCTCCATTAAATCCTCATTCTCTTGTCCCTTATTTTTTATCATTATTAAGATATGTTCTGTTCGATAGCTGCTACCATCATCGCAATATAAATAATACTGTGATAAAAACTGATTAGAGTTCTGTTACAGGTGTTCAGGCGGTTGTCCATATCTGTTATGATTATTTCTTAAGGGATTTCAAAACAACTCAAATTAGAAGCGAAGGCTTTTTGACCTTATAGAGCAAACCTAAGGTTTATTGGCTTAAGAGACGTTATAACGGCGTTTTTGTAAGTGCCTTTCAATTAACCAACCCCCTAATTTACAGACCTTACCGCCGGGACTAGAAATTAATGAGGCCATAGGGAGGTACGGTCTTCTCAGGTCAGTATTTTCCGTTCCTTCTTATATGTGGGTAGGCAGTATCTGGACCTAAGGGTAAGAGACCTGTATGAAACAACAAGATCACAAGGATTGTGTTTTCAACGAACACCTTGATTCATTTGTCGCAATAGGCAATACCAATCACTTAAGTGTATCATCTTTGGTAAGATATATGGGATGTACAAAGAACTAATGATTAATCAACAAGTGTCATCATAAAGACTACTTATTTTACACCTTTTATACTTTATTCACTCAAAGGAAACATAAACCTGAAGTGTAATTGAATATGTAATCATCCCGGTCTTTAATAATATTTTTGGTAAGGGAACGGATTAATTGATAAAAAATGTAGACACATTTCTGTCACACTGAACGTTGATGTCACAAATTTATGAAGCGAAAACTCGGTGGTTTAAGAACCGGACTTTCAACTATTCAGTAATTAGTTAGTAAGTTTTATTTTCAGTTTCGATATTCGAATGAATAACTTTATGCTTCTACATTCGTTTCTTGGGGTAGTCATTTCAAGTTTGACTTTTATGCGTTTATTAGCACCTCATCATCCATCGCCATCATTTTCTGATTAAAACGACTATTACGGGGATATAATAAACTTGATGAATAAAGTCTTTAGACCTTTACGTGTCTAGTTGCTCTAATTCCGATTATTCCATTTGTGCAAAGAATTGGCTTTAAAAGTAGCTGTTTCATTTTTCTTAAGTCATTATTATAAAACTAGTGATCTTACATGAAGACTGATGAGTACACTACATGACTGAATATAACTGCATAATATTGTATGCATCATTCGAGCAGCTTACAGCCTTACTATAATATCCCAAAAGGGTTATTACAATAGCAAAAGTCATCTAGTTCTCCAAATCTCATCAGCATGTTTTAAGTAGGTTTTTACATGATGTTTTTATATGTAATAGCACTCATAACGAATCGCTATTAGTCATTAAACAACCTGAATGCGGATAATAGTGAGTTGTTATGTCTTAGTTTTAAATTCCGTAGACCTTAGATGTCACAACTTCACTACTTAGAGGTCCCATAATCTGATGAAAAAGATGTTTGAGTTTACTTTCTCAGTCATGTTTTCTGGTTAAATAAAAGAACCCAAACCTATTTTTATGTAAATAATGTAATTGGCTTCTGTTTTTCTACTGGTGATATGTTTTGCGCTAACAGTGATAACGTCTTACTGTAAGATACCACAGCTCCTTCTTACTTCTAACTCTCACTACCAAATGAAATCTTGGAAGAATTTTGTGGACAAAAATCAAAGAAGATTATTCCACCATTCGAATTCGCTTATTTGTATGCAGAATTACCCGTATTAATTATTGATTAACGAGATTGTTACGCTGAACTAATACATATATATGTGATGCTGAAGGAGGGTCAAACTGAATTAGTGTGAAAATCAAATGAACGAAAGGACACTTTTATCATTACATTGTCTTAAACTTATCAAATCAAATTGATTTTTCCAATCAAGAAATATTCAGTTCTACCTAACCTTTAATTTGAAAAGTGTTTAAACTTCTAAATGTCATCTATTTTTATTTCAGAGTTCATAGTATGGGAACTCCGAAACCTACTGCTGTCTCTTGGATTCCTGTACGTAATTACCGGTAAGGAGATTTTGCAATAACCTAGATCAATGTTTCGAAGCTTAAAATTTCATTTATAATGATTAAATAAAATCCCTTACTTACTTACTTACGCCTGTTACTCCTCGTGAAGGAGCATAGGCCGCTCACCAGCATTCTCCATCCAACCCTGTCCTGGGCAATCCTTTCAAGCTCTTTCCAGTTCTTATTCATCTTTTTCATATCTGCTTCTATTTCCCGACGTAATGTGTTCTTTGGCCTTCCTCTTTTCCTCTTCCCTTCAGGATTCCAAGTTATTGATTGTCTCGTAATGCAGTTTGATGATTTCCTCAATGTATGTTCTATTCATTTCCATCGTCGTCTCCTAATTTCCGCTTCCGCTGGAAGCTGGTTGGTTCTCTCCCACAAAAGGCTGTTGCTGATGGTATCCGGCCAATGAACATTGAGTATCATGCGTAGACAGCTATTAATAAATACCTGTACCTTCTTGATGGTGGTTGTTGTAGTTCTCCAAGTTTCAGCTCCGTACAGTAGAACTGCCTTGACGTTTGTATTGAAGATTCTGACTTTGATATTGGTTGAGAGAAAGTTGTTTTGAGTTCCATATGTTCTTCAGTTGAAGGAATGCCGCTCTAGCTTTGCCAATCCTCGCCTTGACGTCTGCATCTGAACCTCCTTGTTTATCGACGATGCTTCCCAGGTATGTGAAGGATTCCACGTCTTCCAGAGTTTCGCCATCAAGAGTGATTGGATTGCTGTTCTCCGTGTTGTGTTTGAGGACCTTGGTTTTCCCTTTGTGTATGTTGAGGCCTACTGATGCAGAGACTGCTGCTATGCTGGCTGTCTTTATCTGCATTTGTTCGTGTGTATGTGATAGGAGGGCTAGGTCATCTGCGAAGTCCAAGTCGTCTAATTGGTTCTGGGCTGTCCATCGTATGCCGTAGTTTCTCTCAGATGTCGAGGTCTTCGTAATCCAGTCGACCACCAGAAGAAAGAGGAAGGGAGAGAGTAGACAGCCTTGTCTTACTCCGGTCCTTACTTGGAATGCGTCTGTCAGCTGTCCTCCATGCACTACTTTGCACTGTAGTCCGTCGTATGAGTTCCGGATAATGTTGACAATCTTCTCAGGAACTCCGTAGTGTCGAAGAAGTTTCCATAACGTCCTCCTATCTACACTGTCAAATGCCTTCTCATAATCAATGAAGTTGATGTAGAGTGACGAGTTCCACTCAATTGATTGTTCGACGATGATCCGTAGTGTCGCAATCTGGTCTGTGCACGACCGGTCCTTACGGAATCCAGCTTGTTGATCTCGAAGTTGAGCGTCAACTGCGTCTTTCATCCTGTTCAGTAACACTCTGTTGAAGACTTTACCCGGTATTGACAGTAGTGTAATGCCTCTGTAGTTTTCACACTTGCTCAGATCTCCTTTCTTTGGAATCTTGATGAGGTGTCCTTCTTTCCAATCCATCGGCACTTGTTCCTCCTCCCAAATCTTCTTGAATAGAAGATGAAGCATGCTTGTAGTTACTTCGATGTCTGACTTCAACGCTTCAGCTGGTATATTGTCAGGTCCTGCTGCTTTCCCGCTCTAGATTTGTCTGACGGCCATTCTGATTTCTTCTGTCGTTGGTGGATTGATATTTATGGGAAGACCTGTGTGTGCTGCTTCGATGTCCGGTGGATTCATTGGAGCCGGTCTGTTCAGGAGTTCCTCGAAGTACTCTGCCCATCTGTTGCGCTGTTGTTGAATCTCAGTGATTGGTCTTCCTTCTTTGTCTTTGACTGGTCTCTCTGGTTTACTGTATTTCCCTGCAAGCTTCTTCGTCGTATCGTAAAGCTGTCTCATATTTCCTTCTCTTGCAGCTTTTTCCGCCGTTGTTGCTAGTTCTTCCACGTATTTTTGCTTATCAGCTCTAATGCTCTTCTTCACTTTCTTGTTTGCTTCTATGTACTCTGCTTGTGCTTGGACTTTCTCTGCTCTTGTTCGACTGTTGTTAATTGCTGTCTTCTTGTTCTTTCTTTCTTTGATCCTGTCCAGTGTTTCTGTAGAGATCCATTCCTTGTGATGATGTTTCTTGGGGCCCAGAACCTCTTGACACGTTGAAGTTAATGCTTCTTTGATACCTTTCCAGCTATCCTCCATAGTAGTTTCTTCTTCCTTCAGTAGATCCTGTAAGGCTTGGAACCTGTTGTTGAGAGCTACCTTGAATTCATTGAGTTTGTCAGTATCTCGAAGGAAGGCTGTATTGAACCTTTGCAGCGCTGTTTGTCCAGTTGTCCAGTTCTTCTTTAGCTTCAGTTTCAATTTGGCCACAACCAAATGATGATCTGAAGCTATGTCCGCTCCTGTCCTGGTTTTCACATCTTCCATTGTCCTTCGGAACTTTTTATTGATGCAAATGTGATCTATCTGGTTCTCTGTGGTGTGGTCCGGTGAGATCCACGTAGCTTTGTGTATACGTTTGTGTGGAAATGTTGTACCGCCTATGACCAATTTATTGAATGCACACAGATTTGCAAATCTTTCCCCGTTTTCGTTTCTCTCTCCCAGTCCATGCAGTCCCATGATGTCTTCATATCCGGTGTTGTCCATTCCGACTTTGGCGTTTAGATCTCCCATCAGAATGGTGAGGTCCTTTCTTGGGCACTTCTCTATGATTGATTGCAGCCTCTCATGGAATTGATCTTTAACGTCGTCGTTGCTATCATTGGTGGGTGCATAACATTGGATAATGTTCATTGTGATACCCTCCTTCTTTGTTTTGAATGATGCTTTGATGATTCTGGATCTGTGAGATTCCCATCCTACAAGTGCATTTCGTGCTACTTTGGATAGCATTAGAGCAACTCCCTGAGTGTGTGGAGCATTTTCCTCTTCGTGACCGGAGTATAGCAGCATCTCTCCCGTATTTAGCCTTTGTTGTCCAGCTTGGGTCCAATGGGTTTCACTGATTCCCAGTACTGCCAAGTTGTATCGCCTCATTTCCGTTGCTATTTGCTTTTAATAACAGTAGAATCTGATATATTTAGTTATTTATTTTTAATCCATGCGTTAAATGTAGATCTAGTATCTATGTGTTTTAACTGTTCTACCGTATTGTTCAATTAAGTTCCAATGCATCCATAACTTTGACTTTTTAAAAAGTATTTTGGCAAGTCATTTCTTCATGAATTGAGAATATTTCTTTTAAAAACATCGAGAAACACAAAAAATAAAAGTATATGGTTGTGGAGACTGTCGGGCATCATTGCAATCATGGGCCGATCAATGTTAGACCACAGTTGAAATCTTAGATGGTCGTGCCATATCGTAGATTGAAGTTAATCATTGACATCGTTGGATACCGGTTCAACGATTTAGAGGTTAAGAGTTTACGTTCGAAACCAAAAGTTTGGGTTTCATTTCTCTCTCTCGGGGTTGTTGACGCACACTTTTGAGGAGTCCCACATTATGGCGAAACGGCCGTCCAGTACTTTCAGGTTTTCAATGATGGTCTAGCATTGATCGTGATTCTTATGAAGTTGGAAAGTTTGGGAAATAAATTTTATAAAATACTGGAAAAATGTTTATATATGAGTTATAAAAAAGTTGGTCGTTCACCGCGCTATATCGTAGATCGAAGTTAGGCATAAACACCGTTAGATGCCGGCTCAGTGGTCTAGAGGTCAACCGTTCGCGCACAGGGTCGTGGATACTCACTGCTGAGGAGTCACACACTGGGACGAAACGGCCTTTCAGTGCTTCCAGGTTTTCCTTGGTACTCTAGCTTTAATCGACTCATGAATTCAACTATTAAATTACTACAATCTCCACAAATTCCCATTCTGAAGATTCTCTTTTTGTAAATTTAAACAAGACATATAGTCAAACCACATTGGTTTCAATTATATCTACCCGGTTTCTCCATTATACATACGGTTATATTTATATATATTTATGAAAAACATGAAAGCAACCCAGGGTGTTTGATAGTCAAGGACAAACTGTGTGGTCTCAAATTCATTCACGTTTGCCCAAATGTTCTATCTTTTTTCATACACTGAGTTCCTAAATTTTATCGATGAATAAGACAATCTAATTTGATTCAGTCTCACAAAAAATATTAAATTGTCATTGGTTTTTCCGGTATATTTTTACAGGTTCATTTTATCAAATGAAGCAAAAAAAGCATGTGAATCTTTAATTGGTTACTATCAAGCTGAACCAACTGTTGGTAGGGCAGAGGAAATGGTATGTTACTGTTCATCAGCTTTTAACTATCAAAACATAAAATTCCTTCAATGAACCGTGCTTATTATGTTATCTAATTAAAAGGTCTAAATATTTCAGTTAACCAGTCAGTCATAAGCATCATAGGACTTAGCACAAAATGTCCGTCGATCCTAGTTTTCATATTACATCAGGACAGTAAGACAAAGTTATCATGATGTTTTTCAGAATGGGAAATGAAGTAGTAGTACCATTGGTTGTAGAGAAGATTACATATAGTAAATATGTTTCGAGAATGATTAGCTTACGGAATATAAAGTATGTAATAGTTTTGAAACTGAGGAGGTAAGAGTGAAGGCATCTGCAGCGTTGTATCTGTCACCCGATATCTCAAATCATTGGTCACGATCATTGCGCTGACCCCGATCAAGTAATGTATATCTACCACCGTTACTTAGACCAACGGTCAATAAATTGACGGAGTGATGTTACGTTTCGGTTTGGGCACCCTTTAACTCTTCCAATTCACACATTACCCAACATCGCGAATCGAGATTAGTGGTGACTGAGCATACGTAATAAATACCCTATTGGCTTACAATTCGATCATCAGCTGGTTTTATCTTGGAATATCAAAACTCAGTTGCCCGAAAATTTATTTATTATTTATTTATTTTAACACATAAGTATAGGTACAGGGAGGCACCAAATACATATGCGCCACACAAATCTCAATTGATTTGTGTGAGGGCTGTGATACTGCTCGGGTGCCCAAACCGAAGCAGGTGGTTTTCTTAGAGGGCCACACCCCGAGCCTTCGACCTGAACGTCTGACCCACAAGGCAGTGGAGCATCGTGAGGAGATGCAGTCCCATGGTAGCCGGTGACCAACGATTGGTTCATACGCCATTTGTTCCCGCAGGATACTGGAGCCCATGTGCACCATTGGTTTGGGATCCGGTTATAGCGCCGGACATTCGCTTTTCGTCCTCTCATTTTTGTAAACAACACCCCCGCCACGAGAAGGCAGTGAGTAGGACTTCCCTGGCAGAGGCTATATACGCATGGCCATGTGAGAGCATTTCGAGAGGGAGAGCGGACTCTCCCCACTCTCGGCCGTACCAGGGCATTTGGGGGCTCCCGAAAATTTACATTTAGTTACTTATCTTTTTTGGTATATCCTCTTGCGACCAATTCCATCTTAATCAACATTACTTCAAGTGATCTGTTGGGGTCATATATCGTTGGATTCACCTTTTCGATCAATATGCCTCCCTCGTAGTCTGGTATTTACATAATTCTATTATGCACTGTTGATCCTCTGAACACGTCAGTAAATTTATACCCACATGGAGTCGAGTACAGTTCACTTATTGACTTCAAAACTCAAGTCTTTTTAATAAGTATATACTTATGTTTTATGAGTATTATGAACCCGTCAATATCTGACGAGATTTATAAATCCGTTGTGATGTTTTACTGGCTATTAACTTATCAAAATAAATAATAAATAAAGTCAGTCAGCTACAACGCTGGATCAGGTACATATACCCATCGGTTCAAGTTGTCATACCTCATTAGCACAAAAAAGTAACTACCGAAGTCATAGAAACAGTTACTTTAATGGTAGCGGTATGTATAAAAAAGAGATTGCATATAAGGACACGATAGTCGCGCGAACCCCCACCAAGTAGTCCGCATCTATCGACATGGCTCACATCGGAAGTTAGTGACTTTATGAACTGATTCCTCGTTTTGGTTTGGCCTCCCCTAACTTTCTTCCAATTATCCCCAACACTCGTCAGTATTGCGCGCTGTAGTAGTCGGTAATTGGGCACGCGTAATGTTTGGCCCAACCATCTCCGTCACAACCTCATCAACTGAATTACCATCATTCCATAATACCCTGCGTCTTACCTCACTATTACTTAACCGGTGATCCCAGCAGATGTGAGCAATTTTTCTAAGATATCTGTGATCAAATACTACTAGCCTAGGAGTATCATGTATTCTTAATAACCACGTTTCGCAGCCGTATAGTAGAACGGAACGAACTGCCGCGCAGTATACTCGTCCCTTAATTGATAGACGGATATCTTGCCTTCGCCATAGGTGACGTAAGTTGGCGAAAGCCAAACGAGATTTCTGAATTTGTGTAGAGATTTTGTCAGACACCAACCCATTAGAGCTGATCAGACTTCCAAGATAAGTGAAGCTGTCAATGCGTTCAACTAATTCACTCCCTATCCTTAGTTCAGGTGTTGACGTAGGTCAGTTCTGAAGCAGCAACTTGCATTTAGAGGGAGATAAACACATTCCAAACATACTAGCAATTTTGCTCAGTGCTACCAAAAGACTCTGCATTTTGTCAGCGTCTTCACCAAGTAAGACTATATCATCCACGTATTCTAAGTCGATAAGTGGACCTCCTGGTAGGAGATCAATACCTGAGAATTCAGTCGATGAGAGCGTTATTTCCATCAGTAGATCTATGATGGAGTTAAACAAAATTGGAGATAGTGGACAGCCTTGACGGACACCACTTGAGGTTGCAAAATCGAATGACAGTTCGTCATAAGCTCTCACTCGATTAGAAAGGTTCGAGTAAAGAGCCTTCAAAAGGTGTATATACTTCTGAGGTACACCTTTCAATGACAGGCACTGCCACAGAACCTCTCGGTCAACAGAATAAAGTACTGCTTTTAAGTCAAGAAAGAGCACCATTATTGGACGCCAATAAGCATGCCTGTGTTTTAAAACCTGACGAATGGTGAATATGCGGTCGATGCAGCCACGACCAATTCTGAAGCTAGCCTGATTTTTTCGTGTTTGCAGTTCACTAGTCTTTGTTAGACGCCCGATAATTATTGAGGCTAGTATTTAGACGATATTTTAGTCTAATTAATCACATGATGTTTTTGATCTTTTTTTATATATTTGGACGATCAGCGATTGTGACCAATCACATGGGATCACGCCCAATTGCAAGAATTTGGCTAAAATATTAGACAACCTAATCGCTAAAACTGGACCACCATTCTTACAGACCTCTGGGGCCAATCCATCTGAAATAGCTGCTCTTCTCGCTTCAGACTACCTGTGGCCTTTTGAACTTCAATTACACTTGACTTATTAATTCTAGTTTCTTTTATTAGTCTGAAATATTGTCTGGTGTTACCTACAACCGCTGCCTTTCCCATCTCTCTTGCTTTTGTTGCTCACCACTGATGACGGTTGTTCCGTAGACTTCGGTAAACTGGATGTGGTTTGTTTTCGCTGTTCATCGTGTTATATTTGGTTTAAGCTACCTCACTTACTTACGCCTGTTACTCCTCGTGAACGAGCGTAGGCTGCCCACTAGCATTCTCCATCCAACCCTGTCCTGGGCAATCCTTTCCAGCTCTTCCCAGTTCTTATTCATCCCTTTCATATCCGCTTCTATTTCCCGACATAATGTGTTCTTTGGCCTTCCTCTTTTCCTCTTCCCTTCAGGATTCCAAGTTATTGATTGTCTCGTAATGCAGTTTGATGATTTCCTCAATGTATGTCCTATCCATTTCCATCGTCGTCTCCTAATTTCCTCTTCCGCTGGAAGCTGGTTGGTTCTCTCCCACAAAAGGCTGTTGCTGATGGTATCCGGCCAATGAACATTGAGTATCTTGCCCAGACAACTATTTATAAATACTTGTACCTTCTTGATGATGGTTGTAGTAGTTCTCCATGTTTCACTTCGTACAATAGAACTGCCTTGACGTAGGTATTGAAGATTCTGAATTTGATATTGGTTGAGAGAAAGTTGTTTTGAGTTCCATATGTTTTTTAATTGAATAAATGCTGTCATTGCTTTGCCAATCCTCGCATTTACGTCTGCATCTGAACCTCCTTGTTCATCGACGATGCTTCCCAGGTATGTGAAGGATTCTACATCTTCCAGATTTAATTCATCAAGTGTGATTGGATTGCTGTTCTCCGTGTTGTATTTGAGGACCTTTGTTTTCTCATTGTGTATGTTGAGGCTTACTGATTTAGAGACTGCTGCTACACTGGCTGTCTTTATCTGCATTTGTTCGTGTGTATGCATTAGAAGGCCTAGGTCATCTGCATAGTTCTGAGCTGTCCATTGTGTGCCATGTTTTCCCTCAGATGTCGAGGTCTTCAGAATTCAGTCGACCACCAGAAGAAAGAGGAAGGGTGAGAGTAGACAGCCTTGTCTGACTCCATTCCTTACTTGGAATACATCTGTCAGCTGTCCTCCATGCACGACCTTGCACTAACGCTAACTAGAAAAAATAATTCAAACCATTTATGCCACCTACTTGTGCGCTAAATTACCTGAGGGTTTGGCTTTTTGAAGAAGTTCAGAAAGCTTTCTGTAAAATTCATCTTGCACTTTATCCGGACTGTAGTCATTGAGAGCGTAGGCAGAAATAACGAAATGGCAACGATGTATCCCTCTCCTTCCGAGTTCTTATAGAACTGTTTAACCGAACAGCACATAGGCGACTGTTAACAGGAATCCATTCTAAAAGTGCTTGTTGTTCCCACATACTTATTGCTGTGCCTACACCCTTCAGTCCATGAGAACTTGCCGTCGGACGGCCAGATAGACAGAACGTGTATCTCATTAGTTCCCCGTTTTGTTTAAGTGTGGTCAAGTGAATGACCTCACTAGGATCCAGTATGCATATTTCGGAGACACAACATACATCTAAGGTCTTAGCCAAGAGGTGTGCTGGCCGATTTGACGTCGAGTGCGTACATTGAAGACTAATGTGTAGTTTGAAGTGAGGTTTCAGTGGACCTGAGACAGTGTTTTGCGCACTAAAATTGTTGGCCATGGTGACACTTGGGGAGGAAGTATAGAGTTGATATTCAAAGTAAGAGGAATAATCGGAATTGATTATGAATACGATGGTCTTGTGTGCTATTAGAAGTATGAAGGTGGTTATCATTTGTTCATTTCCCACACCGTAGAAGGGTTCTTATTGAGTTACCTGGAAAACAAATTGGGTTTGGGGTGGTGTTAGTGACCTGAGAGTGTGATCTCAGTCCCCTAGAGACAACTGCTTGAAGCCAGTCACACGACGTTTTTGTAGGTAATTTTTGTGTTAGCTCCATACTTGTTGAAACCTTACTGACGGGAACGGAAATTTGTTGGATAAGGCGATGTGTGTGTTTTTAGGTTGACCTATTCTTACCTCACCATTCCTTTACGGGAAGACAGCATTGCTGTTATGCTGGTTGTCTGAAGAAAAAAACCTTCCTACCGTCACATCTCTGTATAGTCAGCGGTACGACTTCACCGTCGGACCTTGGGTTTGCTGGTTTCAGTCTTACCGCTCTTCAACCGGTCTGCCTGGCATGGTAAGATCTTAAGAAACGATTGTTCCAGCCAGTATCGCCCGATTGGCTCATCGCGTTGGGCAAGCCCGACCGCCACGTCAAGGTAGCAACAACAGTGAGGTAATAACCGAATCATTGAATGCGGTCAACCAGTTCACTTTCTTTAGGTGAAATAAGTTTTGTTACACTGTGCTCTTCAAGTGTTACCCTTGCAATTTCTCGGCACCTTTACTTCGTAGAACAAAGTCATCAACGTACTCCAAGGTAATCAAGGCATCTTAATGAAATTATCCGTCAATATCGATTTTGAGACCACAGGTTTCTTACAGAAAACGTTCCTTATTCATGCGAAATTAAGGCAATAATAATAAATGTCTGTGAAACAACTTTTTCATCAGTCTTTTCTAAAATAGTTTATGTCATTAGATTTTCCAACTATTACATTATTTGTTTTGAAGACTTATGTTGTTCACCATATTTTCCTTGTTTGTATTTTCAACCTTGTAGAAAGATAAACTTCTGACTTTAGTGAAAATTTGGTTTGAACTTGCTGCAACATCACAAACAGACTTACTTAGCATTGAAGATTTCATTGCAATTCTTCATGATCATTCACCATCTCTGTTACGTGATGTAATTCAATCAATCGATGAAAATGTATGTTTTACTCTTCCCCTCCAATATTTTGTTCTCATAGAGGTGTCCACTTATTATAACAAGAACTAAGAACATAAGAAAAAATCTAGGTGAAGTTTATAATTCTACTTCAACTAATCAACATCGTACACAAAGCCTTTACGTAATACGTATATATAGTCTTCGATCATCCATTTTTATCTTTCGGTTTGTTCTGCAATCCGAACTATCTTCTCATCTGGTCACCAAGTGTTCTGCATATGCCATGCTTTCGATGTACTGAAACTCTTCTCTCCTTTTGATGACTGTGACAACCTTGACAGCACGTCCCGCTACATACTACTTGCAAGCATTCTTATGAATATCATTCACTACAATATATGGATGAATTCATATATCAGCCTACGCATCTGTTTTCTTTATCCGTTTATTGATTGCTCAAAAGCTTGGCGACTCTTTCACATACACATAACATATTCACTTTTCAAGCTGTGTTCACTTATCCCCCATGTCATGTGCTTTCTGTCACCATGATTTTATCTGTTCGTTGAAATAAGGTGGTTCACCTTCAGGGAATTATACACCATTGAGAAATTACAGTAATAGCGATTGTTCGGCCGATTAATGTACGAAGTATAGGAATAATGGCAAACATAACAGCAACGATTTCCTCTTCTTCCTAAAATCACTTTAAATTTAGTAAATGCCACATTACTGAAAATTTTTATCTTCATCAGTTAGTTATAGCAATAAATTCCAAGTCATTAGGTTGTATGTGTATATACTCCTAGTTTCGTTACAAATTTTAAAGTATTTCTTTTAATAGTGATGTCATCTACATTTAAATAAGTCAAGACTTTGAAAATAACCATACAATTACAAAGTTTCATTAAAACCAATAATGTCATTCAGTCTATGTACCCAACTTAAAACAATAAAATATTTTGCTTCATGATATATTGAGTTTATTCATGAGAAGAATCATTTAAAGTAATCATACAATAATTGATGTGTTTGTATATATATATATATATATATATATATATATATATATATATATATATATATATATATATATATATATATATATATATATATCTGAAAGATAAATTTTACACATAGTATGTGCACTTATACAAGTATGCAATCGATGAAGTGTACTAAACTTTATAAAGTACTAAATGCCTCCCCATTAGTGAATAATTATTCAACAAATGATCGATCATCTAAACTCAAATTCCTAACATTTATTAGTTATAAAAAGAATTATTATTGTTATAGTTATTGTTTAGCATCCTACAATCAATTCATTATATTGTTAGTACTTACTCATTAGGAATACTCTTTCTCTCTCTCTCCTTTTTTGATCTTAAAACTGTGATACAGTCGATAATGTTTATCAAAATAAAATTCGAAATGATTATCGTAATCAAAACTATCTACATGATATTTGTAAAAAAGTTGTTTTGATTGTATTTATTGTGTATTAATTTTAACTTTATAGACAATTCAGTGAAAGATTACTGATTGTCTGACTTACCTAAAAAACATGTGACATTGTAACACAAGTATGGGTGTTGTAGATCAAAGTGTAATCCGTCTATAGCCTTCATAAATAATAAAGAAAACAGTAGCGATGAGAAAATTTCATTGTTACAAGAGTTTATACGTTAGTAATAAAGTCTTAATGCTCCATAGTAATGTGAATTCACAATATAGTGTTATGTAACTCGTACTAAAAGTTCATATAAAAGACTTTAGACGGACAGTCACAACTATTTCACTGCCGAATTCATACATTTCGGTGGTAATTTTTTTGAGACATCGAATATAACGTGTCTAACCCACAGTTAAATCTGTGGCATACATACTAACGTAATCTAAGTTAAGGCAAACAGGTTTTTTGAAAGTTTTGTCATCAGTTTTATATGTAATGAAACAATGAATTAAAAATAAATTTCATTACCACTGTTTGGATATTTTCCTATTTATAGGAATGAAATCATGAAAATCAACACTGTTGACACTCTCACTCATATAAGCTTTCTGTAAATGTGTTTAAAGTTAACATCATCATGTCTCATCCTAATAGGGGCAATACTAAACTTTTTTTTATCGAAAATCAGTGATTCTTAAACAAAATAAGCTGATATAAAATCCTCTCTCATATAGGTAACAAGCTTATGTGATGTACAGGATTTTGGTCAGCGAATGTAATAAATAATCTTGCGGCTAGAGATCCAGTTTGCAATGTATTGGACAGAATAAACCAGTATGGGCCGAAGCTTATTTGTGTCATAAAATTTCAAATTGGCCCTCAACAAATTGCACACTGTTTCTAACAATTCACTATCATATGCACTTTGAACCTCCAATGAAAACATAATATAACTTTTCTGTAATTCGTTTGCTAGAACTGAAAGTATATTGGCAGTCTTGGACAATTCTAGGAGTAATCTTGATACTAACTAGTCAACTATTAATCAATCGGGATGCAGATTCTGTCAATGAAATGAATAAAAACGGTAAAATCACAAAAGATTAGGGCTTTCGAGATGCTACCAGTATATCTCTATCATCTTAAACGTAAAACTCATAACCGTAGACGTCCTAAACTATTATATGATTTACTGTTCTTAAGTTATTTCCAATCTAATATTTACAGTCTCTCACACTCAACCACTTTGGGCTTGATTTTGTATAACTGTTATTTTTCATTTTATGGTGTTATGCGATCTGGTCTGCTTGTATATAAAACGAGTATGTCCTAAATATACGATTCATATAGTGAAGGCTGATATTTGTGTACTGAACTGAACTGACTCGATTAGGCGAGAAGCTACTATACAGTGGACCAATAAGGACTCAGAGTTGACTTAAAGCTGATCATGGTGGCTAACGCGTCATTGGTTTAGCACAGGGACTAGGTCGTATAAGTTGGTGTTCTAATTGGTGATATTTGACGGGCCATAAGACATAACACTAACCCTAGCACTCCTTCATTAACCGCATCTCTAAACTCTGTACCTTCACTGCGTGTCATTTCCTGACCATACATAATATTTTCTTCTCGATAATCCAATATTTTGTAGGTGGTCTGCAACCACTATAATTCAAATTAGTTAAAATGAGAAGTATCGTCCAAAAACAGGACGTAAGGTAGCAGAATATCCGTAATCCCATTTTAAAAATCGCTCATATGTTCAACAATCGCTACCTCATCCTAATTAATCAGTCCTATTTGTCTCAAGGTCATCAGTTTGGTATGTTATCTGTGGTTTATTTTCTATCCTAGTTTTTAATCAATTAATTGCTTTGTCAATATGGATCATAGTAGTTGCCTTCTTTTCAGTGGAGATTTCTTTCCTATAAAACTATGAGTTTATTTCCTGTCTGCGCATTATCTGTTCACTGCAAGTAATACACCATCATTCGATTCGAGAAAACACCCAAAATATCGAATTAGTAGTATGTAAAATTATCCTCTAAAACTTAATTTAAGCAAACAAAATGGAAAAAATTAACTGTTTTTAATCCTTCCTCTCTTCTGTAGAACTATTTTTCGAATTTTAAAGTTTTTTGTGACTTCTCAGTTTAAATCACAAATTGATGGTAGCTAGATCTGTGTATTAATACTACAATTTTCATACATCCCTCATACTTTCATTTTTCACAAGTATATATGTATATTAAAACAATATCACTTTAATGCATTCATTCTCCCCTTTCTTGTAAATATAGAACAGTACCTGTCTGCACTATTCCGTTGGTCATGGTGCTTGGCAAGTTGTCAATCTGATTTTGGATACTGGACATGCTCATCCAGATCACATTAATCGATCTGGATTCTCACCTATTATGATTGCTGCGCTTAGTAATGTAGGTTGAAATCTCATTTCCTTCGAAGCATTTTATGATCGTAGCAAATAAAATTAAAAATCTTGAAATATTTTACCCTGGGACATATAGTCCATAAGATCATTTAGAAATGCACATAAAACTGACCAGAAGAAATATTGATTTCTCCGTTTTACCCGCTGCATCAGTAAAAAAACATTTACTTACATTTGTTTGATTGTGCTCAGCTGTACAATAGTAGTGGACGTGGAAAAGTTTAATGACTTGTTTCACAATCTTCTGTGTGTTCACGATTTACGTGTCGTGGTAAACTAGAACTCAGGTTGAGGTAACTATATATATATATATATATATATATATATATATATATATATATATATATATATATATATATATATATATATATATATATAGTCCGCATTTATGTTTCAAGCATCAAAGTGCGCATGCTTCTTCTAACTTATTTGATATAGTTATTAGCGGATATTTCAGTCAGTCAGTAACAACGTGAAACTTTGTACGTACGTACATTAGTTCGAGTTGCCATACCACATTAGCACAGTGGTGCAGTTGCCGCTTCGAATCCCGTAGTGGTAGAGGTAGTGAAAGTATAAGTAGTGATAAAGAACATTAAGGTTTGATGATGTTATTTATATATAGCGGATATTTAATCAAGTGATTGACAATTCGTATTTTTCCATTTCGTTTATTTTTATAATGGAAATACTTGTCAGTAAAAGTATAATTATTGTATGTTTTTAATCATTATTTCTCATATTTTGATAATTTTCTTTAATAATTTTTTCTGTTTACAGATAACTGATTCTAGTGCTTTAAAAACACTTGGTCGACTATTCAGTATGGGTGATGTTAATATCTGCACAAATACATCTGCTCGCCAATCTCCACTTATGTTAGCTGCATTACATGGAGGTGTAGATATTTGTTCTTTGCTTATTGCACATGGTGCTAACATAAATGCTCAAGATGCTTCTGGTAATACTGCCCTAATGTATGCAATAGAACACAGTCATATTGGCGTCGTAAAATGTCTCCTTGGTTGTAGAGATTTAGATTTAACTTTGGTCGATAATGTAAGAATAGATTTGTTTTTTTACTTCTTTGGATTCTTTTCATTGCAGCGATGACTAGTTTAATTATTAAAACAACATAACATGCTTAAAAACGTTTTTTAAGAAGTCTAGCTTGTTTGTGTCATTGACTGACCTTGCTTAGACAACCATGGTAAACTAGGAAGCACTTAACGGCTGTTATGTCTTGATGTTTGACTCATCAGTAATGCGCACTCACTACGTCACCAAGGGTCGAACGCTAAGCCTTCAAGTATTACAGCGTGCTCTCAACCTTTAAATCACTAAGTGGACAATAACTAGTTTACATTTTTAACTTCAATCAGTTAGCTATATTGTGTAACCACTTTCCGATGTCATTATTGGCCAACTACCTTACATTTCATTCATTTCATTTCAACACATAGATATTGGTGCAAGGAGGCACCAAATACATATGCGCCACACAGATCTCATTTGATATGTGTGAGGGCTGTGATACTGCTCGGGTGCCCAAACCGAAGCAGGTGGTTTTCTTAGGGGGCCACACCCCGAGCCTTCGACCTGAACGTCTGACCCACAAGGCAGTGGAGCATCGTGAGGAGATGCAGTCCCATGGTAGCCGGTGACCAACGATTGGTTCATACGCCATTTGTTCCTTCAGGATACTGGAGCCCATGTGCACCATTGGTTTGGAGTCCGGTTAAAGCGCCGGACATTCGCTTTTCGTCCTCTCATTTTTGTAAACAACACCCCCGCCACGTGAAGGCAGTGAGTAGGACTTCCCTGGCAGAGGCTGTATACGCGTGGCCATGTGTGAGCATTTTGAGAGGGAGAGCGGACTCTCCCCACTCTCGGCCATACCAGGGCATTTGGGGGCAACTACCTTACACTCGCTTGCCCCTCACTAGAACTCCTCAGTTATCTTTTAAAGTTATCCAGTGCTTCCTAATCTTTATTGATTATCTTAGTAAGTTCACCATATGATGTAAACCACAAAATGCAGTATCCAAAAATCTCTTATATTAGTTATAACCATGCTCCCACTAGTAACAGGCAACCTCCAGAGTTCTAGTGTGAATCCGTGGCCATTGTAGTCCATCCATATCGGTTGTGGGGAAGTTAGCCACCACTGACATTAAAAGATAGCTTCATTAAATCGTGAATTGATTGGAATTAGCTATGTAAACCATTGGATGCCTAGTTCAGAGGTTATGAGACCTTATATACTAATAGAAATTTATTAACTTGAATGTGACTAAAAAGAGGAAATTAACAAAATACATTGGATTCATTCTGTTCAAGCAAACATTGTTATCCCTACTTTTTTCTAATTTGTTAGCAATCTTTATTATAATTATACTGTTATTTATTAATACCTACTAAAAGTGTATTTTGGCAACCACTTAAAAACTGAGTGCATTGTAGTCTGTCTTTATTTTACATTTGCTCAACAGAAAAAAATTCCAGTTGCTAATATAAAGTACACTTTACAAGTTGCAACCAGTAAAACTCAGTTTTTTTGTTTTCATCAAAAATTAACTAATATTAAAGTGTAAAAATCAATACTACCTTCTCAGTTGGTTTCTTTGATGATTACATATTATGTTTTATTAGTCAAAGTTTATTGACAACTATTTAGTAATACATAGATTTTGTAGACAGTTACTTTTAAAATTTCGACATCTTTACTGATCAGTAATCTGTATATATGACCGACACATTGAATGTAACACCTGAATTAAATTACCACCTAATAGAGAAGAACATTGCCATATTGTGATATGTTTTTTTGTAATGAGTAAAGTTCAAGAATGTATGGTGAATCATATCAAAATAGCGATAAAATATTGCTCTGGTAGACTTTAAATTAATTGACAGTGATTGATTGATAGGGATATCGATTTTATTACAAGTTGAATCTAACTAGTCTCCAACAGTTGATATATTATGAAAATAGAATGCTAAATCCTTGAATCCTGATGAAGCAACCTATAATCAGGTCCAGTTGGTTGGTTTATTTTTTTACATAGGTTTATCCTGTAATTTGTATTTTATTAGGCTAATGGTCTATCAATTTTTACTGATGACAAGTTATTCAATAGTTAAAATGGCTATCTAAAAATATTTGCTTACGGAAGTGTACATTTCTCATTAAATCTTGAAATGAGTCGAAGAATAATTCAAAACAGTTTCTTCCTTTGAACCATCAAAATAAATAGAAGCCCAACTTTTTATCGACTAATTATAATTTCAAACCGAGTGATATAAACCATACTTTGTTATTTGTTGTGATCGTTTTGCTTCAATTACCATTTTGAAATTATATTAGTTCGGTCCATTGAGTCCTTGTTAAATTTTTCAACTTGTTTAATAGTTTATTTGTTAATTCCAGACCCTATTCACATTGTAATAGTTTTAGGCGTATTATTAATTGCAGATACACAACTTGACTCTTAAATTTGTTAGAATTATCCAAAATATGAGGCGCTACAAGTACTTGAATCCAAAACATAGGCACATGCCTTCATATTTGTTATACTAACATACCTGTTATCTCTTCTTGTCCATCATAATTAGATGCTATGAATTAAGTCTTTTGTTAAAAATGCATACAATAAAATAGTTTAGACGATTATCATTAACTATACGTTTTTTATTTCTTTAATTTAATAGAATGACAAAAATGCTCTTGATGTTGCAAAGTCAAAAAATGATTTAGAGATATTGAATTTGGTTCAATTGGCTTATAGTGTTCCTTCAAAGGTAACGTTTTATTTATGTCATACTATATAGTCTAAATTAAATATCGTTTTGTTAACTCAAAACAAAAAAATTCAAAAGTTAATATGGATAGAGTTTTAGCTAATAGTTTGTGTAAAAATCGTAATTGTTTTCACAATTTGTACTAGATATATTGTCTTTTAGTTTATATAGGTCAATTAAAAAGGACTTTATCATAACTGCATTTTGTCCCATTTTATTTTAACATTTTTAGCTTTCCCAGTTTCATGACTAAAAGCATAATAAGACTGAATACTGGGATTTCAATGATTAGTTACTGTGTAAGCTATTTATGACTTTGATATATCACATACTGTTGTACAATTATTACATAACGTTATTTTATTGAAATATAAAAGAAAATAATCATTGGATATGGCAAGCATATGTGTGTTGATTATTAGGTGCTATTCTTAAATTTGTTAAAAATTTGGACACAATAGCCTTATTTCTCAACAGCTTATTGTTTAGCCTTACTAGTATAGATAACTAAGCTTCAGAGTTCTTAAAATGGTCATTTATCTTAAATATGCTTGTTAAATAGCCCTGGAATGATTACGAAATTTTGATGTTGAAACTGTATCTCATATCTGAACGCCGTTTATCCAGCTGTTTTTTAGCCATCATGTAGTATAGTTTGCTTTAATACATTTCGACTTCTTCACTAAACAATCAAACTCCGCCCACAAAATTCGTTCAGAAACGAAGATCCTTTAAGATAGAGTTGGGTACTACACAACTGTCAGTTAATCTGAGCTTGATACTTATACAAGTCATCATTAACGTCAATGCGACACTGGTTTCAATCCCACAATAAAGCATAAGTATAAAACCCGGCTCCCGACTTTCTAGTAATCATCTCTAACGTAAAACATAGTTTACCGCGTTTTTAAACTACTTGAATCAATAGCCTAATTACAATATGATCGATAGGGGTCTTTCAGCACTCGAGTCTAAACGATATTACATTAGAAGTCACATAGTAGCCGTTTGCTATATTTGTTATCTTCCTCACATTTTTCTTACATTTTTAGCATAAAAGTAATCATTTAATCCAGTTTTTAATGACTGATTTTTATATTTTATCTTTTTACTTGAAAAGGCAACTTCATCCACTAGCGAAACTTCACCTGGAGCCAGGTTAGTACATATTATTTAATCGAATTCTTGACATATGGTGCTTATAAAAGTTAAGAGTCTACTGTGTTTACTATTGTACATTTGGTTTTTATTGCGATATATTTGATATATCCATATGAAAGATGGTTAGTTCAACCAGTATATCCACTCAACAGCATTTTTCTTAACTCGCTGACAGTTGTATATAAACGTGCACAAACGTATACATATATTTCATATAAAAAATCAATCTTCCTGAGTAGATATTTGTGAACGAACAATATTTGCACACAACACAATTGACATAAGTGTATTCACTTAGTTTATTGATTCTCCTATTGTAGAAAAAAGATGGAATGTAATTGTTCTACATTTCTGCTCTGTTGACTCCTTATCGTCTTCTATTTTCTAATATATAGATATAAATCAATATAAAAATAGTTTTTCTTTAGGTCAATGTATTCAGAATAACATATGAATGTATTTGTGCGCCCGCTTTGTTTGCATTAAAAATGAACATAGTCAATCTTTTATATACGAAAGCTGTCTAATATTTGAGAAAATCTATCAAGATTATTCATTATTGTTGTATGAACTATGTGAATTACACAGAGTCAATTTTAATCTTGTTTCTATTCGGCAATGTATATAGGTGTTTTTTTATATTTGTTAAGTTATTGTAAAGTTAGCTTGTAAATTGTTTATTCCATGTATATGAATTCATTGTAAATTTCAACTTACTGTGAATCGATAATAACTAACTGTCGTTATTAGTCTTTTCATAAACATTTACATCATCTATTGTGTCCCATTGAGCGACAAAAAGTACTCAATCCTACTTTAGAATTATCCTCCAGTTTTGTATATCAAATAATTTATACTGTGTTGTTTTATAAGATTTTCAGATTTTATTGCTTTTTTACTACCAATATACTATTTAGTCTGAATCCTACCATAATTATATCTGATAGTTACTCAGTATACGAATAATTCACATCTTTTCATATATGTATGATAATTGTTATATCTTTATATTCTAGAACATAAGATACGGGAAAAATAATTCAACTATAACTTCGGGTTAGCTCAAATATTTTTTGCCATTGCTGTGAACATAACTTTTTCTTAATCTATATATTCCGCACGGAGTTTACAAAAATCTGCACATACCAATCCTATTACTCCCTCTTGAAAAGAAATATATATAACTTATTGAGTTTTCACGTTTTTTTACTTGGCTAGGTGTATAAAACAATTTTCTTCATTCATTTGAACTTGACTTTTCCATACTTCCCACTTATTTTTACTATTAAGTTTTTTCGGTATTTTTTAACGTAGGATTAGTTGACTGGTGATACCTTAAGATGTGCAATTCATTGTATAAACTACTTTATGTGTTAGACCAAAGGATACATTTTCATTATACAGGGTTGAATCACAGTAAAACTTTTCATCTGTCATACAGTTATAGACAAAGTAGAATGTGCTTTGACCTAAGTTGTCACATCTCACATTAGTACAGTAAGAAAGGAATTTAGGGAAGAATTATTATTACCAGCCTCCAGAATCTTCAATTTCGAACAATTTCTGTGTATTAATTTCTTGCAAATTTACATCTTATTTCACACATTCAAGCAAAACTGCTCAGAAATCATTTTATTTAACCATTAGATCGTGATGTAATCATAGGGTTTAGAATAACCATGAACTACCATTTTCTTAAACTGACACATCAATACCTTCTACTTCTTCTGTTCCATTTAATTATTACAGCCTTTTAAACGTCGCTAAGAGCTAGCGGTCTAATGTTATTGTCGAATTAATACTGTCCCAAGATTATAAGCAAATGCAGAATTACTGAGAATAATTTGTTTTACTATATAACCACCATCTCAGTAATGCTATTTTTCATGCATCCTCATGGTGATTCTTTTGTAACCAATGATTTTAAATTGTTAACAAATTTCCGAAGCTTTGATAACCCGATATTGGTTGATTAATCCTAATGTTTTGCCCATTAAGTTTAGATCTTGAAGCAATTATGTTGATTTCCTTTACTGATATGTTTCTCGCTTAAAGTGGATAAATGTTATTCGACTTAATTAACGAGATTTTTTCCAATGTAAATTGGGTAAATAAAAATCTAGCAAGGGGAGTATTTTTCTTAATCATGAAATGAATCTTTATTTAATGTCATTAAAGCACATGTCGTCCTATCTTTTATTGCAAATTATTTATCTTGCCACTATATTTATGATTTCAGTGAAATAATTATATTTTTGATTTATAAAATATAATGCCCAGTTACAGCTTAACTGTTTGATTAACTCTTATAGCACTTCTGTTGCGTGTATATTTGTCCACCTTTAACAGTGAAGTGTGCTAGGAAATTAGCAGATTTATTATCATGTTTTTCACCTCTATTCTACCTTACTTAAAAAGTCATATTCCTACGATATTTACATAAATCTTCATTATGCCCATTGTTTGTATATATTGATAACTATTTCTTAAATTTCCAGTGACATTGTCCCAAGTGAGGCTATCTGTACAACTTTGAAATGGCTTCTCAGCGGTAGACTTTATAAACCTGTTCACTCTTACAACATATTCATTCTAACTCGTCAGATAATCGAATGGTTTAATAATTCTTTGTATAGAGGCGGTTATTTTACGCTCTGTTTCTTCGACAAAGTTTAAAAAATCACTACATCCTACTGGAATGAATACTAAAGTAAAAAACTTGTAGTTTGTAGTTCTACCTCAGGTGCCGAACAATTTGACTTTAAAGCTATCTTTGCTTATAGTATTTTTCTTACCACTTTCAAATTTCAGTAACTAAGTTGATCGTTCAGATGATAATTGAAACTACTCCTAAGCCCTTTATTCAAATATATTATTTGCAACATAAACTGAATAAATAAATACTTAAATATTCCCTATGTTATTATAAATTCATACGATTATTCATCAATTTTAGAACGAATAGTTTTACAAAAATTTGGCGCCAAATATAATGTTATTAGAAATATTTGGTCGCTAGGTTAAGTGATACTCTAAAAATTATAGAAACAGGTCTGTACTAATGTATAGCCAATAGATTTTTATTTATTCTATTGGCCCTTCGTTCCTGTTTAGCTCCAATTTCGCATAATTAATGAAATTTTCCTGAAGTTTATTTTACTCCTTGTTTCTATTGCTTGAATTTCTTTATAGATATGCTGTTGAACGAAGAAATACACATAGATTACTGTTAGACCTATGTGATTTACATCAAATTCCCATCCCAAAATCAATTAAATTGTGTTTGTAGTTACTGTTTTGTTTTGAATTATCCCTTTTTTTCTCATATTAATATCATTTATTCAGTATTTTGTTTTGCTTGATTGTTTAATAACTCTTACACTTCCTGTTTCTTCTATTGGGATCATTCTTTTTTTTTCAATTTTTGCAATTACAACACTACATTTTATGAAGGCCGTATATCTTTATTCTTTAAAACAATTATATTAAAATATTGTATACTAATTATTAGCCAGCTTGTTTATTAATTTATTTCTATATTTATGTTATAAGCTTTATCATGCTGTTGTTTTCGGGTACTTTTATATTTAGAATTTATTTATACTTATCAGTTCATTACTACAGTTGTATTTTATATTTTATGATAGTGTATGTTCCTCATCATTATGTATTTGCCATAATAGTATTCTCAATATTTTAAAGTGATAAATTGTCTGTATACCTTCAACAATACACTACATTTTCTTTATCCCACCTGACTTTCGTGTAATTCTCCGTAGTTTAATAATATTAATGAAAATGCTCACACTTAGTTATAGGAAAAAGTTTGGAATGATAAATACCTGATGAATTCAACAGAGATTTCCCTATAACACTTTTTCAAGAATCCTTTCGTGTTAGGTAAACGAGGATCTGAAAATCTCTACAGATATTTTCACGATGATTAAAAAGTTGGAATTTCTGTCAAAACAATTCAGTTATCCTAGCATCTTCCTTCCTGCACAATCGAAAAATTTGACAATTTAAATGCAACTAATGAGATTTTTATTTCCAATTGTATATCTCTGTTTGAATATGAACTTTAGTACTTCAGATTTATACCTTACTGTATTCGGATTTTATTTATATCGACACTGGTAACAGAATAACCAGCAGTTGTGCCCTAATGAATTATATGCACGACTGCATTAGACGGGTCTAACCTGCATTGTTTTGACATGGATACAAGCTTCCAGAATATTAATTAGTCTGCGTGTCTGTAGTATTTATACATCAATATTTTAATAGGATATGATTAACTAATAGATCGATGGACAAACAGACAAAGGAGGATTCACATGTAGGCATTGGAAGTAATCACACAACTGAGCACAAGTTAACAAATAGGCTGGAATTGAAATATCTTACAGCCACATAGTCGAGTACGCGCACCAAATTTTGTGGTTATGTACGGCCGTTTTCAAAATACTTTGCACTATGAGTGGCTACAAACACTTAAACTGATAGTTTCTACGTAGAGAAAAATGAGTCTGGATCAACCCACACACAACATTTCTTTGGAGAATCTGTTCCTTAGGAGTAACAACGGTGCATGGGAATGCTATATGTATCTCTGCTATTTTTATGATCTCAGAAACAAAAATCTGGAGATGCTACAAGTATTATGAGTTTGACGACGCCTTAACTAGCAACACCTTTACAACCGAAGAATGCCGACGCAGTCAAATCAGAAGTCAGGATTGAAGGAGTTATGAGATACTTGGTGCGAAAGCGTGATCGACTATCTCCAACAAGGCGAGTCCGTTAAAACTAATGCGATCAGCATTAAATGTTGCAGAACTATGAATTTTTAGGATTTATATGCCGCTACAAATCTAATGAGAGCAGTCGAAAAGCGATAAAAAAAGTACAATTTCATATATCCTCGTGAATGCACTGCTTGATGTCGCACTCGCGCCGAGATATCATTATGCAGTTCTTTGGCCTCAAGGGTGACGTTCAGTAAGAATTTCTCATTATGAAATTGACGATTTTTCAGCATTAAAGACATTAGCACAGTTGGATATGTGTTACTCCTTGCAGTATGATTTTCCATAATTAGAAATCTTCTAGAAATTGTTCTATAATGTCACATCCCATCTGTTCTAATAGAGCTCCCTAATATTTAGTTACCTTATGTGTAAACGTAGTTCATTCCCAGATAGTGGATTCTAAACCCTCTTCTCATTTCGTTGAAGATAACTAGTTCTTGGATGACCCGAATGCGGGACATATTGCTTTTCGAAGTAGATTCATTCGTTTTAGTTTCTCCTGATATGATTGATAGAAAAATATAGCAACTTTATTATCTGCATATTTAATACCAATAGAACACAAGCACATTAATTTGCCGAATGAACGCAATTTTCTTAAGTGGATGACACAAAAAATACAAAGCATTTTTACGCCAGATTTTGAGAAAATTGGAAATCAATGTGTAACTTGGTAAAAATTTGCTACCGCTGGAAACCTATTTTAAGGTTGTTCTCAAACGACTGCTTATGAACACATCCATGTCCTAGTTATGTCTCACCAAATTTTCGTTGATTACTTTTAATGTATTGATTCTTAAGTAGAGTGTTGACTGATTTTATTTATTAACACCTCTTTCCTAACCAAGTTTCGGATCTTAGTTTATCCGTATCAATACTAGTTCCTTTAGAGATAAATACATCTTCAAAATGACCTTCTGTAAGTTTTCGACAGTGGTGCTGATCTAATTAGTTTTGCTGAACACACACTAGCCATTAGTGAAGCCCTTCATTTTGACACCAATTAGACCTCATGGTGCTGTCGACGGGATCACCGCCTCGGTAGCCCTTTATCTGACTCCAGATCAGAAGGTTGAGTGTCCGAATCACGGGTTCATCACTTAAGTGGGCCGAGATGTGATTCCGATTAAATCGTATGAATGTTATTGAAATATACAATTCTCGTAAAAAATCATCCACCTAAATCATGTTAATGAACAACGGAATTAAATAAGTCAAATACGAAAAACCAATCAGAGTATCTCAGCGAATGAAGCGAAATAAACGGATGAGCGGAGGGGTTGACGTACACTCCATCACCAGCAGCCATCAAACTCATATCAAAACGATTTGTTGCGATGCGAAATATTAACATTTTGTAACTTTACTAAATAGACAAGCTATCAAACCGTAAGACGTCTGTCCCGTAAATCACAAATACGAATGCAATAAACATTATCTACACAGCAGGACTAGATAATGAAAGTATAAGTCGCGGAATAACATTGTCTTGCATAATATAGTATGCTAATAAGTCGATTGATCATCGTCTTGTCATTTAAATAGACCTACGAGTTGCAGTATGTCATGACTTAAAACAATTTTACTTTGCGAAGCGTTGTTCACAAACGGTTTCCGAACGGTATGGTCACTTCATTGCTTTGTACTTTATACCTCAACCGTATAAGACCACATCTAGGGTAGTACATTCAATTGGCTTGTCCATGTCTTACTAAATATGTTAGCACTCTCGAGCGTGTTTGGTCTATGAAAACTAAGTCATTGAATGGTCTTTCCAAATTCCCTTACGATTGACACTTGAAACGCACAAGCCTCTTTCAATTGTCGCTGATCACGTGGCAAACTAGTATTATCATTCCACATCTTTAATGACAATTACGCTTGCAACATGTTTTATCATTTTGCTCCTATTATAACTGATCATCTTCGAGGCCATATGTATAGATTTCAAGACTACGATATAATGAACACATGGTGGGTTTCCTTTTTCTCATCGAGTGCTCAAAGAATGAAAGGTTTCACTCGAATAAATGCTATCAGGCCCATCAGTGAATTTTCTCAAGAAGAATTTGCATCTCAATTGGAAAACAAGCCGTAAGAATAGGCATAAGTAAACTGACTTTCTATCCCTACCAATAAAGACTGAAATCTGAACGGGTAAAAGCATTTGTATCCTATCGATACGGGTGGATTATCTTAACTGCTCTAAAAATCAGCCTGTTTGGATTCGTGTTGACCTAGATAAAGAATGTAGTAGTTTAGTGAAGGAAAACACAGGTGAGTGCAACCGATTATATTTAGCATAAGATACAGAGTTACCTGATAAAATAAAAAAACATATCCTAATACTTCACTCGCAAAATGTTCATTGGTTGTCTCAGTCTTCATTGTTCTTGCATTTTCACATTAGTTGCTTTCTGTTCTCGTTTTCCCTCCTCGAACTTTTCAAACCTCTTCTGCCAGGCTCTCTATTCCTGGCTGGAGTTATATAAGCCTTATGTCAACATGAGTAAATCACACCACAGTAGTAGTTCTCTAGACATGCATACTTTAGATATAGCCCTCGTATAATCTACTAACCCCCCCACCCTTTTTGTGGCCAAGTGTATTCTATACTTTATTTAGGTTTGAACAAATACCGCACTCTTTTGCAGTACTTTCAATATCGTCTTGAAAATAATATTAGATGATAAGGAACTTTTCAATCAAACGTGACTGCAGGAATTTAGCATAGCGGCCCCGCTGATGATGTGTGAAATTTCAAAGGATGGCATAAAATCCCCAAATTTTAGTCAACGAGAATCAAATCAAATCAAGTAGTAATGATAGCCAACTACTCATTGGATCTCGAAAATAATATTCTCACTGTGATTAAGTGTTAAGTGACTATTTTATAAGCTTATCACAAAATTTAAATGTGTCCGTTTTCTTATAGATCCCGACTAATGGAGGTTACTAAGCCTCCTTACTTTACTTATAGTACGCAGAGATTCAAACGTTGTCGAAGTTGGACTGTTGGTGGATGATGATGTTAAGTACTTCAGTTATGTTATTATTTGATGAAATATCAATAAGATTTAATTATCTCATGCTATTGTTGCTTTTTTCCATGCTTTGTGGCTAATTCAAGATCTCCTTCCTCAACTAATAACGAAAACCCTGGAAAGAAGTTTAAGTCTTCCATGAGACCTATGGATTTCAATGCTAGAGAACATTCAAAATTTACTCACTGATCTGAACGCGTAATCAGGGGAACGAGGCAAAAAAAGTGAAGGGGGAGTAGCGAAATATAATGAAATGATGATCAGTTGAGAAGAAAAGTGAACCAGTTTCACTTAACCAAACGTTAATTAATATTTATAGTCAGACTAAAAATAAGTTACCGACGCGAGATGAGTAGGGTAAGCAGTTAACACAGCCACAATCATATGAAAAATGGTCAGGGCTAATGAGTAGATATGCAACAAGGTCAAAAAGTGACTACGGGAACGGATACACTTGTTCGTTCAGAAGCTAAAATTACATGTGTGTGCTTGATACAGCACCAGCCATTACAAGAACTTTGAATAAACATTGTTAATGTTAGACACCGGATGCTAGAGTAAATGGTAAATGCACTGCAGACTTTACAAATGTTCATGAACACAGGTAGTTGTATCATGAACCAGACCACTAATAACCACCGTTTTCGGAAGACTTGAGGATACATTGAAAGATAGCTTACCACACATTTAAAATATTTGATCTCGAATTATAAAAACTAAGGGAATTAGAAAGTTAAATGAATGATACTTTGAAGTTCTCTCATGCTTCTTCTATTGTAGGGGAGCATACAGTTATTTCAATATGTTTCAAAGGATATCGAAGTCCATTTGTAGCTGTTACGAACTCATCTGTTCATATTACAGAATACAAAACAGTTTTATACGTTCATCAAATTACTA